GCAAAATTTCATTGAAATTGGTTCAGGGGTTTTGGAGAAGAAGATTTTTGAAATTTTAGTCAATTTGACCCTTTTTGGCCCCGCCCCTCAGGCCCCTGGGGTTTTTTATTCTAAACCGGCAACTATTTTTGTTGACCTTTGTCCATGGAAGGTCCCTGCAAAATTTCATTGAAATTGGTTCAGGGGTTTTGGAGAAGAAGTCGAAAATGTAAATTGTTTACGGACGCACGACGGACGACGGACGACGACGGACAAAAGGCGATCGCAATAGGTCACTTGAGACTTTGTCTCAGGTGACCTAAAAACAGAAGTGCAAAAGATAGAAATCTGATACCAGTGTAGTAAAGCAGGTTTATAACAAAGAATTTAACTCATTGACCCCTTAAATTTCATAATGAATTTTTCTAACCTTTGAATTGGAAGAGTTCAAATGTGTCTTCAGGGGTGAATGAGTTAATCCCAGAAAAATCACAGACATCAGTTCACTATACCCAAATTACATTACAGAAGTTTTTGTTCAGGAAGGAAATCTTTTCTGGGACACAAATGTGACTTCAAACTATTCATGTTTTTTACTCCATGTCCGTGGTGAACATGCTTAAAAACGATGGTAATGTCAACATATTTTACTTCTGTCCTGAAAATCCCTTTTTTGTTCAAATAGGGGCACCATTAAAGCTTTCGACTACCAATCAAAACATAAAATCTTCAAAAGTCTGTGCTTTACCATTTAATAGACATAACATTTTCCATTTAACTTGTCACAGACAACCTTGAAGAAGGACCTTGACCTGGTTTACACAGCGCTAGAAACTGATTTTAAAGAATATTAGTAGGTTGGGCTAGTAGTTTCCAATTTTAATATTCCATGTGCAAATTCCACTAACCTTATATCATTATTCATGAGTAATATCAAATTTTGGCAAGTCAACCAGGCTAGTGGTTTTTACAACCACTAGTCCAGCTGGATAGTTTGCTAGTCTAAGACTATCAGGCTATATTTAAGTGTACTGTCAAGCACTACTTACCTATAAAGGCATTAGGTCTTGGCAAGTGAAGAGCTGGATTACATCCACAGTCTGAAAATTAGACAATACACCCTTAACTAAAAGAGCTATAATAGTATTGACTGACTAATGTACCTCTTTTACAGAAGATTTTCTCACTCAGAACGCTCTAAAATAACTTTATGAAGATTAGTAATTTGATGAAGCTTTAACAAGGTACAAAAAAATCTGAGTATTGATGAAACTAATTAATGTGATTCCCAAATGTTAAAAAATGTTTAGCGGGGAAATAATACAAACAACAAGTGTATGTAGGTTAGCATGTATCTTTATTTACCACAGTAAGAAATAAAGAAATTTCAGTGTCAGATTAACTTGGAGAGGGCCAGATTACTAGACAGCAGGTTCAGAGGAAAAGTTGGCCATACTATTTACATCCGGGCTGCTCAGCCAGACTCTTTCATCCAAGAACTGGGATCACATAAACTGTCATTTGTCTATAGAGAGCTATTGAAATAACTTACATGTCATCACACATTGTTGTGTATTTTCAATTCTGCTAATGCCTTTTTGGAGAAAGGGGCCCCCAGATGATATTCACTACAGAGTGTGCCACAGTAATATACAGTGGAACCTGTCTAATCCGACACCTGTGTGATAAACATATTGGTCAAATTGGACAGAATGTTGGAATACACAGGACTGATTTGGTAGTTTTCGTAGGAAATAAGATACACGGGAAGTAAGAATACTCAGGGATTACGTCCAACAGGTTTCACAATACAATTTTCAAAGGATATTCCTGAGATTTTCAAGTTACTTCTGATGAATCTTATACAGTAAGTTGTGTAAGGGTTGCTTAACTGCTTCATCAGCATGTTTTCAGTTTTGAGGCATGAATGAAGTTTTTAATACTTGTGCCTAACAATGTGAACTATTTTCTGTCACTAGTAATTACGCCTACCTTTCACCTGTCACTAGTAATAACACCTACCTTTCACCTGTCACTAGTAATAACTCCTACCTTTCAGTCTCTGAATGAAGTCACTTGATAAATCGTAGACTCCGTATTTTGTCTTGTACCATCTTTCCTCCAGTGGACATAAGTCAGTATTTTCAAATGTGTCGGACATCAACATGATGTTACATTTATCGGGTGTCAAATGAGCTAGGCAATCGGATATCATCTGAAACAGCAACAAAGTACAGTTCCAGGCTGGTATCTAAAGAAAAATCTAGTACAATATATTCTTGATAAAGATCTAACATCCTCGACTTTAACACCAATTCTCATTATTTATTTCTAAACATTTTCTTCAGGTTCGTAAGTATGAATAATAGAAAGGTACTGTATCACAACCAGTAAGTGTTTATGTGTGACATTTCGGTGAATATGATACGATAAGTAGCCTGTTACCTTCTTCAGACAAATGGCCAGTGAAGCGTACATAAAAGTGTCAAATGTGTACGAGTTGTCAATATAATTAAAGCCGACTTGGATACGCTATAGGCATATGCACACTTAGTTGTCATAATGTACGAAATGACAAATCATACTAACAATCTGATTCAGCTACACTTAGTTTAACACCTCTTCACAGATGTGCAAGAGTAGATGAGCCCCCTCATCTCAGTTCAAAACTGGCCCACTGGGGCGTATCCAGATGGCTTGCTCTCTCTGACCAATACTTTGGAGTTATCCCAGTCAATAACATGATTTTGCTGCAGAACATGGTCTGAGATTGCCGAATTATTGATCTGGGACTACGACTGCTTCCTTTCAGATCGACTGAACTTCTTTTCTAAAAAAAGGAAAACATTTCTTGTGGAAAATATTACCCTTTTTCAGAGGATATAAGACTGACCTTTGGATCGTAGTCATACATGAGGGTACGACCGGTGAGGACGTCTTCCCAGGGAAACATCTGCATGTTCTCAGACACCTTCTCCACGTAATTCAGCGGGTCTCCCTGTAACAAAGCCAACCAGGGACAATCATTTGTTAAAGCAGCAAACACATAGATATCACTCCCACAATATATTACATATGTAACAAACACATAGATATCACTCCCACAATATATTACATATGTAAACAAGAGGCCCAATGGGCCTGCATCACTCACCTGGTATAAAACTCACACTTGTAACCTTAAAAGTGATCTAAAATAAAGCTACAGGCAAAATATCAGTATTTATGATTAAAATTCGTTCAAAAGACCCTGTTAATTTTTTTTCAAACATTTCACCCCTGTGATTGAAAGTCGAACAAAGTCATTATGTTGAACACATTGTATAGCCTTTCATCTCAGGATGCAACTTGCAAAGTATAAACATCCTGGGACCCATGGTTATTCATAAGAGGTTGTTTAAAGATTTTAAACAAATTTGACCCCTGTGACCTTGAATATAAGTCAAAGTCATTCACTTTAACAAACATAGTAGTCCTTGATCCCAGCATATGCTACTAACTAAATATCAACATCCTGAGCCTTTTGGTTATTCAGAACAAGTTGTTGAAATATTTTAAACATATTTGCTCCTTGTGACCTTGAATATGATTCAAGGTCATACATTTAAACAAACTTGGTAGCCCTTGATCCTAGTATGCTACTGACTAAATATCATCACCCAGGGCATTTTGGTTATTCAGAAGAAGTTGTTTAAAGTTTTTAACATATTTGACCCCTGTGACCTTGAATATGGGTGAAGGTCATTTATTTGAACAAACTTTGTAGCCCTTTATCTCAGCATGCTACTGGCCAAATATCATTACCCTGGGCATTTTGGTTATTGAGAAGAAGTTGTTTAAAGTTTTTAACATATTTGACCCCTGTGACCTTGAAAATAGATGAAGGTCATTTATTTGAACAAACTTGGTAGCCCTTCATCCCAGTTTGCTTCTGGCCAAATATCATCACCCTAGGCCTTTCGGTTATTAAGAAGAAGTCGTTTAAAGTAAAATATTGACGCCGGACGGACGGACGACGGACGCCGCACCACGGCATAAGCTCACTTGGCACTTCATGCCAGGTGAGCTAAAAACACATAGATATCACTCCCACAATATATTATGTATGTAACAAACACATAGATATCACTCCCCCAATATATTATGTATGTAACAAACAGCGAGATAAACAATCTTAATGGCAGTATCCATTATGATTAAGTTCACAAATCACATTTATTGTGTCACTGTGTCTACCTTAAATTAATCAAGTTTGTCACATTTTTTTTCCTTTCAGGCACAAGAACCAGTTAATTGTGTTCATTAGGCTTATTGAATAGATCTCGGATACTGTAATTACTGATCAGAACAGCATTGATTTACCTGTATAAATCAACTACATCCTACAGTTAACATTTTCATCTTCATTAAATAGATAATCTGAAAACCTGTCTATTCCAAAACAAAATATTTGTATATATATGACAGGTATCAGAGCAAACACCAAGTTCAGTTTAGACAGGTGTTTATATCAACAGTGTTTGGTTTAGAAAGGTGTCAGTTTAAAAAAGTGTTTGCTTTCGGCAGATGTTAGTGTAATCAGTATTAAGATAACATAGGTAGTGTTTTGGTACAACATGTGTCAGAGTAAACAGTGTTTGGTATTTGGTATAGACAAGTGTCAGTTTAGACAGGTGTCAGTATAAACACAGTACTGACCAGTTCTTTCCAGCGGAACTTGCTCTCCTCGATCTGTTTCAGTTCCTGGTAGAGTGACTTCTGTGGGCCTACCTCCTCCAACATGTGTATGTACTGGAAGATCATCTCCACCACCTGATGTTAACATTCTCGTAGATTACACCAATAAATTATTCAAAAACATAAATAAGAACCTCGATCTAAATGTAAAAGACTGAGTTAAGGATGACATTGATAATATTTTATTGAAAAAAGATTTTAGAAAGAAAATATTCTGACACTATGTCCAATTATCGCAAACAATTTAAGCCTGTGTTAAGGCAAGTTTCTACTGTGAAATAATGTAAATTAACTTGCCCTGAGACATATTTAAAATATTTTGTTACATTGGAATGTGTTTAGTGGAAACCATTCTACAAAATGTCGCTTAACGAGTATATCTTTCATAGCAAAAATAAATAAAGATTTAAGATATTTACATTTGAAGTATCAAACTTTTAGTGTTTACCTCCTCGTAATGTTTAAGGCCAACATCTGTGAGAGTCACAACCACACAGAAGCTTGTCGTTGTAGAATTCATCTCAAATCCATCGTAGCTATATCCACCGACGATAGACAGTGCCCAAAGTCTGTAAACAGAAAATATTTTCCAGTATTTCTCAGTTTTAACTACACATTCTACAGATCAGTGAAATTTTGACATCAGTCTTTAAACTGGCAGGTAAAGAATGTAAGACTCTTTCATGCCCAGGGGTGTAGAATAGGAAAATCCAGAGGGTGAAAGTTCCCTATCTTACATCTCACATCTTATATCTTGGGCATGAAAGAGTATTTTTCTCTCTGGCTACCATTTTGAAAATATCATTTTTTTTTTACAAAAACGAATCCGTCAGCGAAATTCAGCATACCCCATATTTGCAAACATTGCGACATAAGTGTTTTCCAAATTCGTGACATCACGTCACGTAAAATGGGGTGTAAGATAGAAATTTCCTACACTCTTTTCTTATCCTGGACAGCTCTATCTTGCACAAACTGAAATAACAGAAAACCCTTTCCCCTCTTTAATGGTCAGCAATTTAGCTAAACGATAACCATCAAGATAATTGATATCGCGAACAATTTGTATGTGGGTTGGTATGTGTTTAATTTGTGTGTTTATGCATTTATGATTTTATGGATGACCGAAGTAGAGTTTTACTAGGTCAGGTGAAAATTAAGCTTTTTCTTTAATTGGGCCTGAAAAATATACCTTTATGTCAGGGATACCTGGTATTTTAAAATAACACAATTTATTAGGTGTTGCTTTTACAACAAGGAAAGTTGGGGGAAGAGATAGTGGCTTACTTTTCCTTTAGGTATGCAAGGATGCTACCCTCACCCTCATCAGCCAGCACTGTGGTCAGGTAGTCAAGGGGCTTGGTCCTGTACTTGTCCAGACAGGGGGGCAATGCCCAGTTAACATACACCTTGTGTGCATCCTCCACAGGGACCACTGACAAAAATAACGGGAGTATTATGAAGGGTTGGGAGTCCTTAAATATAAGGTAAGATGTCGCAGGACACGTACATTTTGAGGAACATTTTCTTCTAAATAAGCATTTTCATTATCCACTGAATCGGGATTTTGAAGTATATAACATCAAAATGGAAAGAGATTGCATCAAACATTATTGTATTAAAAGTCATTCTAAGACCAATTTTCTCAGAATTAGAAATAATATGCTGGGTCATTTTGATGTGTCTTATCAAACACACACATAAAACTTATATTGACTGAATTTTTTCCCTAATGCTTATAAAATAATGGATTTTAATGTCTTTGTCTTAAGCAAAACACAATATTGTTCTATTTTCAGGTGTGATCAAGTTAAATCTTTGTAACTTGTCAAAGGATAGTTCCTCAAAAGCTTAATTCATTAATCACTTACCTCTGTACATCTTCCTGAAATTTGTTGTGTCAAATGGTTCCTAAAACAAATGCAAACAATTAATAATTGTAAAGGGGGGACCATTACAGAGGTCCCCCAAACTGCTCCCATAGTCGCAAAGATGCAAAAATACACCTACATACCAAATTTGAGGGAAACAACCAATATTTAATTTTGAGTTCAAGGAGCCTATGAAGAAATTTTACTTGCATATCGAAATTTATTTGTAAAGATTCAATTAATTAGTTACCAGTGTAGAGAATTACGAATTACATTAATTACATAGTTACCAGAATACAGAGTTAAATATTACATTAATTACATAGTTACCAGAATACAGTTACATTTAACATTAATTTCAAAGTTACAAAATTAATTACATATTACATTAATTACATAGTACCCAGTGTAGTTACAGATTACAATTATTACATCTTTACAAGAATATTGTTACAGATTACATTAAATACATAATTACCAGGGAAGTTATATAACACATTATAATTAATTAGTCATTTAGTTTTACATTATGCATAACTAAAACCTGTTGATAAAAAATGCTGATTTTTACCTTCAAGTCATGAAACACTGGTTGTGGAAGATCACTGAAAGAAAAACATTCCAAATTAATTAGGATATGTTCTTTATTTGGAGCAGGACACGGGCCATTAAGATGTGCATTTTTGTTTAAAAATATCACTCTTAACAGTATAGCTTACTCGTATTGAAGCAGAAATACCAGGACAATGACTTGGGATAACTTGACAGATGTAAGAAGTAAATACTGTTTCTTTTACTCTTCCATCCTGATGATAAATATTTAAACATACAAATTCTGTGTTAATGAATACCAAACAATGACTTACCTGGTAAGTTAGTGAGTAGATCTGAGAACATGACACTAATTGATCCCTCTAACTTACTTGTGTGGTACCGCAGAGAAAATCTCTCTAGACCATTCCTCCAGCTTGTCTAGACTATCTGATGTGAAAAATTGAATGAAAAAGTATTGAAATAAGTACTTTGTATAAAATTGTTTATTAATAAACAGGTTTCAACTTCTAATCACTTACAAATGAATCTAACAATGAGAAGTCAAACTAGTTATACAAAGTTCTTGCACTGCTGGTAAATCTCATGAAATAAACTTGGAATCTAAATAATTGTCTATATATTTACACATCAATTCAGAGCAATTTAATTTATCACCTTGAGAAAAAACTTTGACATATCCTTTATTGTATAGCTACTGTTATGTAACTTGAGGTATATGACCTCTGACCTACCATTGGACTGTATAGCTACTGTTATGTAACTTTATGTGTATGACCTATGACCTACTATTGGACTGTATAGCTACTGTAATGTAACTTGAGGTGTATGACCTTTGACCTACCAATGGATTGTATAGCTACTGTAATGTAACTTAAGGTGTATGACCTTTGACCTACCGTTGGACTGTATAGCTACTGTAATGTAACTTGAGGTGTGTGACCTTTGACCTACCATTGGACTGTATAGCCACTGGAATGTAACTTGAGGTTTATGACCTTTGACCTACAATTGGACTGTATATCTACTGTAATGTAAATTGAGGTTTATGACCTTTGACCGACCATTGGACAGTACAGCCACTGGAATGTAATTTGAGCTGTATGACCTTGACTTATCCTTGGAATGAATAGTTATTTAATGTAATGTAAGTTGTATGGCATTGACCCAACCTTGGACTGAGTGGCTATTGTTATATAGTTTGAGTTGAATGACCTTGACCTACCTTTAGACTGTATAGCAACAGTCATATAATGTGAAGAATACATCCGAGTGTAGAAGTCCCGCAGTCGACTGTATACATTGATACCATTTTGTTTTGGAATGGTTCTCAGTGTTTCTGCATTCCCTGTATGTATATAAACACTGAATAAATATAAATGCTCCAGACTAAGGATATATGCTTCCTCACAATTTAAATGTGTGGTTTGTGTTCACAGTTAATTTTCTTGAGGATATTCACTACCTGTAATCTATTGTGTAGTTTTTGTTAATTATCTCCGTTGTATTTTTTTCTTTTCCATAGCTATTTATGGTTAACTCACACAATAAGATGGCATACGTCCTTAAATTCAATGACCTCATCAAGAGATTTCAAATCAAAACCAAAAGAAATATAACCTACAATGTGCAACATGGCATTGTGGGATGCCTGATCCAATTGTACATATTATACAATAAAATTGATTTCAAATTAAATGAGGGATTACATTCCCCATTTATAACAAGAATTACGCATTCTTATATGTGTCGCCTGTCCCGCTTTGTCAATATAATAAGCATTTGACATAGTACACTTAGGATATATTTAAAGAGAATTGAAATTGAAGGTCATATCCCAATGTGATAACCTAATAGGTAATAGGTTGTGAGAAAGGCAGACATTATTGAATTGTATATGCAGCATGCATTATAACCAAGGAAGTGGGTAACAAAAATTCATATATCTTACATGATACATGTTATGATACACCTACAGTGTATGACCCAAGTACATAAGGAAACGGACCTAAACGCAAAATCATAACATTGATATTTTTTAAAGTCCAAAAATTTGAGGTTTTTACCAAAAAAATGCAGAAATCAATGAAATGTTTTTAGTGCAGTAGGCTCCACTACCCATGCTACATCTATGATCGAGGTTTTGTTGGTGTAGCTTTGTCAGAAACACAGCTAAACACAAAACCTTAACATTGTTGACGCCGCCGTCGGAAAAGCAGCGCCTATGTGTCTTTCCGACATCCATCGTAGGCGACACAATACATATGAAAGGGAAGGCAGAGAAAAGCCTTTCTCATTACAATAACTTAGAGGCTAATGAATAACACTTGGTCTGTTGAATTGTAAGAATTGAATAACTAAAAGAAATTTAATAGATATCTCATTTAAGACCAGTTACAACTTTGCATATCAATGATTCCAAAACGTTTACAACATGACCTAGACTGATAAGGAGTCGTTTACATACCTGTGAAGAACTTGGACATAGGGTGTCCTGGTTTAGATAGCGTTCCAAATAAAGTGTTGATACGATCGTCATCATTTGGAAGGTTCATTTGAAACTCTGTATAAAATATATTCCAAACTGACATGTTTATATCACTTTTCATTTATTACAAACCACTAGTTGAAAGACTGATTTTTAACCATATAAAAGATACGCTCAAATGATGCAAACAAGAAAAGGTGTACTTGTAGTTTCACATCAGATCTTCAAGTATTGATATATGTAGATAGAAAGTTGACATGTTAGATACTCCAGGAGTTTTAAAATTGACCTGTTTGTTTCACTTTTCATTTATTTCCAAAATCACTAGTTGAAAGACTGATTCAATATATGTCTTACATCAGATTTTCTTATATTGATACATAAAAAATTGACACGTTAGATTATGAATATTCTGACGATATCTATAACACCTACCGCTGTCCATCGCTTCAAATTATGAATATTCTGACGATATCTATAACACCTACCGCTGTCCACCGCTTCAATCTCCCGATCCACACAGTCCTCTCGGAACAGCGGACTGATGAAGAAATGTGCAAACATGTCAAGAGCTCGACGGAAGTACTTTCTCTCCACATCAAAGTAGAAACAAGTCTGAAAAACCATACACACAATACTGTATTTTACATTTATATGGGAGTGTAATGTTACCATCACAACTCTAATAAGACTTAATCCTCTTTATCATCAACTTTCTACAATCTCAGCTGGGAATAATCCGAAATATCATACTAAGGAATCAGTGAAAAAAAAGGTCTAAATGCATGTGATGTGTTTTCCTTATATGATAATCTTCTGACAAGAATCGAAAGCCTTGAGACAATCTTTAAATATCTTGAGGCCTCGCTCACTAGTCTGACTAAATATAAAATTAACGTAACTTTATCAGATAGTTCAATACCAGTTCACGTGGATCCCGATAATGAACAGTTCTAAATGCAATGAAAATAATAATGACAACAGAGACATTTCCAATTCATTTAATAGCAAAAACATTAAACTTCATCAGTTCAAATTTTTTTAATTGGCGTAGGAATATGTTCCCTCGGTTTTGACCAATCGCAGCACCTTTGGGTTTTATATCACATGTGTAATACCATATTTCTGACATAGTAAAATGGGTCAGTTATGTGATAAACAGTCTTTAACCACTTAAGTTGGACAGTGATCCCAGCACAGACAGCAATTTTTTTGTTTGCCAAAAATTCAACTTACCAACAATTTTTTGTTTGATCATTTCAGGGAATTCTAAAATGACAAAACAGATCTGTAACATTCATGATCACTATCACTACAGTTACTGGTTTTTGATATAATGAATTGTCACTGAAACTGTATAGGCGAAGCTTTATGGCAATGGGCTAACAATTGATTATAAACAATTGTTGAGTTACCTTTTCACAGTCAGTCCAAGCATTGGAGAATCCACCGTGACGTCCCAGGAAGTCGTCTAATTCGTTCTCCTTTGGGTATTTCTCACTCCCCATAAAAACCACTGTAAATAAACAAACACTTTATTTGCTATCAGAAACTAATGATTCTTCACTGGATATTTTCAAATACAAAATCTAAAACTAGAGATTTGTTTTTGCAAACAAAATAATTATTATGTCTCCCCTTATTCGCCAATACAGGTACATGTATATTAGCTTGTTTTGGATTAGGTTGGATGTGCAAGAATATTTATAAATTGTTCTTGTTCATTTGGTATTTTGTTTACAATGCTGGTTCAGTTTTGCGAGCTATGGTACAGATAAGTGCATATACTTTACAATATGTTTAGACACAATCTTATTACAATAGGGTGCTTCTTCTGGTTCATTATCTCAAAAAACATATTAAGAGGAGGAGAATACACCACACAACTAATAATGACCATGTACCTACAATTTTCTTTAAACACATTTAGATAAACAGAGGAACTGCCTACTTCTAAATTATACAAGAGGCCCAATGGGCCTGCATCGCTCACCTGGTATAAAACTCACACTTGTAACCTTAAAAGTGATCTAAATAAAGCTACAGGAAAAATATCAGTATTTATGATTAAAATTCATTCAAAAGACCCTATTTATTTATTTTTTGAACATTTCACCCCTTTGATTGAAAGTCGAACAAAGTCATTATGTTGAACACATTGTATAGCCTTACATCTCAGGATGCAACTTGCAAAGTATAAACATCCTGGGACCCATGGTTATTCAGAAGAGGTTGTTTAAAGATTTAAAAAAAAATTGACCCCTGTGACCTTGAATATAAGTCAAAGTCATTCACTTTTACAAACTAAGTAGTCCTCGATACCAGCATATGCTACTGACTAAATATCAACATCCTGAGCCTTTTGGTTATTCAGAACAAGTTGTTTAAATATTTTGAACATATTTGCTCCTTGTGACCTTGAATATGATTCAAGGTCATACATTTATACAAACTTGGTAGCCCTTGATCCTAGTATGCTACTGACTAAATATCATCACCCTGGGCATTTTGGTTATTCAGTAGAAGTTGTTTAAAGTTTTTAACATATTTGACCCCTGTGACCTTGAATATGGGTGAAGGTCATTCATTTGAACAAACTTTGTAGCCCTTCATCTCAGCATGCTACTGGCCAAATATCATCACCCTGTGCATTTTGGTTATTAAGAAGAAGTTGTTGAATGTTTTTCACATATTTGACCCCTGTGACCTTGAATATAGATGAAGGTCATTTATTTGAACAAACTTTGTAGCCCTTCATCTCAGCATGCTACTGGCCAAATATCATCACCCTGTGCATTTTGGTTATTCAGAAGAAGTTGTTGAAATATTTTGAACATAATTGCTCCTTGTGACCTTGAATATGATTCAAGGTCATACATTTATACAAACTTGGAAGCCCTTGGTCCTAGTATGCTACTGACTAAATATCATCACCCTGGGCATTATGGTTATTCAGAAGAAGTTGTTGAATGTTTTTCACATATTTGACCCCTGTGACCTTGAATATATATGAAGGTCATTTATTTGAACAAACTTTGTAGCCCTTTATCTCAGCATGCTACTGACCAAATATCATAACCCTGGCCATTTTGGTTATTCAGAAGAAGTTGTTTAAATTTTTTCACATATTTGACCGCTGTAACCTTGAATATGGGTAAAGGTCATTCATTTGAACAAATTTTGTAGCCCTTTATCTCAGCATGCTACTAGCCAAATATCATTACCCTTGGTATTTTGGTTATTCAGAAGAAGTTGTTGAAAGTTTTTAAACATATTTGACCCCTGTGACCTTGAATATGGGTGAAGGTCATTCATTTGAACAAACTTTGTAGCCCTTCATCTTAGCATGCTACTGGCCAAATATCATCACCCAGGACATGTTGGTTATTGAGAAAAAGTTGTTTAAAGTTTTTTTAATAAAATTGACCCCTGCGACCTTGAATATTATTGAAGGTCATCCATTTGAACAAACTTGGTAGCCCTTCACCCAAGCATGCTACTGGCCAAATATCAACTCCCTGGGCATTTCGGTTATTGGGAAGAAGATGTTTAAAGTTTTTGACATATTTGACCCATGTGACCTTGAAAATAGGTGAAGGTCATTAATTTTAACAAACTTTGTAGCCCTTCATCCAAGTTTGCTTCTGGCCAAATATCGACACCCTAGGCCTTTCGGTTATTAAGAAGAAGTCGTTTAAGTAAAATATTGACGCCGGACGACAGACAGACGGACGGACGGACGACGGACGCCGCGCCAAGGCATAAGCTCACTTGGCACTTCGTGCCAGGTGAGCTAAAAATGCATAAAGGAATTAAGGCAATTAAAAACTTATGACGCAGAAAGTCAGAGTATCCTTACAGTTTCAAAGTTACAACTGAAAAGATAGCACTCATTTGACCTTTGACCACAAATGATGATGTAGGCATACTGCAAGATCCATCAAGACATCTTTAATGGTTTAAAAGTTATGGCCGAAGTTTTCCAGGGGCCATAGTGATCCTTGTGAAAGTGCCGGAGTTTTCCGGGGGCCATAGTGATCCTTGTGAAAGTGCCGGAGTTTTCTGGGGGCCATAGTGATCCTTGTGAAAGTAGCAGAGTATTTTTGTCAATATTTCCCAGGTCCTTTCATAGGTGATATTGTAACAGAGAGCATTTGGCTTTTTGCAATGCCTCCACTAGGAGTCGAACCGGGACCTCTGGTTTACTAGTCTTATGCTCGACTGAACGAGCTTTATTGAAAGATGTGTTTTGCCTTTCTTCATTTTCTAACAATCATTTTAGACTACACAAACCATATATTGTGGATAAAAGTTGACCTCCCTCCCCCCACCCCAACCTCAAATCTCATATTTTCACCCTGTATAACCATTACAAAGGGCACTGAAGTTGAAACTTTATCAAGTAAGCCTTAAATGTTTGTTTTCACAAAGAATTTTGTTTTGAGAAACTTTTAGAGAAAGTGATTTGACACCTCCCCCACCTTACCTTACACGCTCCATTAAAATGAATTAATATCTTATTAAAACACTCTAGTGACATAACTTCTATTCATCAGTTACATTTAATCCAACAGATACACAGTACATAAATACAGCTGAAAACTTACTATGCTCCAAGAAATGTGCAAATCCAGGGATGTCGTCTGGGTCAGAGAAACTTCCAACACCAATACACAAAGCTACTGCTGACTAAAAAAGGTAAACAGTGTTATTTTTACCAGGAACAGCAAAGCATCACAAGTGATACAAATCCCCTAGCATTCATACATTGTATGACATATGTATGGGGAAATGAATAGAAAATTCAATGATGCATCAGTATCTGGTCTAGCGACTGCATTCTTCGATAATAGATTTTTATTCCACTGAGAAATGAAGTCAATAAAGGGATGGCAAAGTTTTTCTAAAAATAGTTACAGTGACCTTGACCTTTAACGCAGTAACCAGGAATAAAGTCAATAGAGCGATGACAAAGTTTTTCTAAATACAGTTACAGTGACCTGAAATGCAAAACTGTTCAAGGTATTGACCAAACACTTGTATCAAGTTTAATGAAATTCCATTGAGGAATGAAGTTGGTAGAGCGATGACAATGTTTTTTCTAAAAATATTAAAAACGAAACAACAACTTGTTCATGACATTGACAAACCAAACACTTGTATGAAGTTTCATAAAATTCCGTTCAGTAATAAAATCGCCAGAGCGATGACAAAGTTTTTTTTCAAAAATAGTAATGTTCAGTGACATTGACCTTCAACGAAGAACCCAAAATGCAATCTTGTTCAATGCGTTGTCATAACAAACACTTGTATCAAGTTTCATGAATTTCCCCTTGGTAGAGCGATGACAAGAAGTTTTTTTTTTTTAGTAACAGTGACCATGACCTTCAACGTATAAACCCAAACTCTTTCAAAGCATTGCCATACCAAACACTTGCATGAAGTTTCATCAAATTCGGTTTAGAAATGAAGTTAGGTTAGTACAGTATAACCTAAAGCATTCCTGTTTACTTTCTTTCACATATTTTCAAACTATTTCCCAGATACAATTTTTTCAATCTGCTCTTACATTTTTATCTTTAGTCAGTTAAATTATTTATATATTTGCTGTACTAACATTAGTGGATCCCTTGAAATCATAACAGGAATGTGAAAGTGAATACACAGCAACAATTTCCAATCTTACATGATCTTCAGCTCTATACAGGTGCTTTACTTGTCAGGTTCCTGCATCCCAAAATAAATTTACCATCTTAAACATGTATTCAATATTTTATAGCAGTAATCTTGTTCACGCTGTAGAGTATTTCATGGGTAAGGGGCCAATCGATTCAAGCACTTGTGTCTTACCATATGTATCCTGCAATAAGCCCAGAGAGTCTAACAGATGATCTCTGGCTCAAATTAAGGGGGTGGGCTTATTACAGTACAATACAAAAGCAATTGTTGGCATTTCTCCAGAACTGCCAAAGATATGGATGGGCTTATTACCAGAAATGGACTTATCTCTGAATAAATACATTAATGTTTGAAACTGACAAAGCAAGTGTTAATTTGTGTTATAATCCACAAAAAAATGATAATATAGATCATTTATATAATGTTCATACCCTCGAGTTTATATAGGTATAGAGGTCATGCTTGATGTTAAAAAATTTGGATTTTAATTTTTTATTTGTAGAGTATCAACTTTATTTACTGTATACAGGAAATGTGAATGTTGCATGTTATATGTAATTGCACAAGGACATGATGTTGCTATGGACTTTGCATGCGCAGAGAAACCGTGTTTGACATACAAAGACTTGAACTCTGTGAAGAGTACAAACTGTATATGTGTTGTGCATGTCATTGTTATGGAGTTTGCATCGGAAGAGAAGTCGTGTTTGACGTACAAAGACTTGAACTCTGTGAAGAGTACAAACTGTATATATGTTATGCATGTCATTGTTATAGAGTTTGCATGGGCAGAGAAGTCGTGTTTGACGTACAAAGATTTGAACTCTGTGAAGAGTACAAACTGTATATATGTTGTGCATATCATTGTTATTGCACAATGTAATGCTGTTGCTATGGAGTTTTATGTGGGCATCTATGATAATACTGCGGTCCCCATATGACCCTGGTTGTTGTAAAGACATTAAACCCACACACGTGGTCAGGTGGTGCTGTGGATGGCACACTTGCCTTTCAACAAGGCGGCCGGGGTTTCATTCTCCAATCAGATGTGAAAAGGTATGGGGTAACCTGCCTGACCATGTGGGTTTTCTCCAGGTACTTCGGTTTCTGGTTCGTAATAAGCAACGTCCTTTTGGATATCACGATAAGACACCCCCACTCCCCCATGCGAACTAACATCTGGGCCAACAGGAGTGATTAAAATAATATAAGATGAAATAACTTGTTTTAATTGTTGTAATATAAATAAAGTTTATATAAACCCCAGGACATTTTACACATAGAAATGTCCTCCATGTAGAGTACCAGTTCTACATGTATGGCTAGCTAGGCTAGTGTTATAAGATTACAGGAATAAAGTGACAATTGCAGAGTGAACAACTGTTTTGTTTAAAAGCTGTTGATAGTTGCATGTGCTTGAACTCTAAGGCAACGTGATGTCTGCAGCTGATGCAGCCAGTTTGGATTATTCCGAAAAGAGAATGAAAAAATAATAAGAGTGACTGGGAAGAGTCGTTCTGTCATACCATATCCAATCAGTCTCATAACTATGTGTGACTCATCAGAGGTGGGGTGTGCAGTAATAGACCAGAGGTTATTTTCTGGCTTATATTCTAGGTCGGGTAAAAAACTAATATCATATATCCAATGGATAAAATGGTAAAACATATATGTGATCATCAAATCAGAAGATACATGCATATTGCAATCTTCATTCAATGGTTTCTGCAAATATTTTGAATGAAATATATCCTAACTTCACTGTTTAAGCAAAAGATAATTCTGAAGATATATAAATTGTTTTACCATAAAAGTGAAAATTTTCCTGGTGCTGAAATGTTTGGTGTTGTGTTGGGTATATTAGCTTGAAAATATCCATATGCGAATAGTTATTAATAGATTATATAGATTATAGATAAATTGGATATCTAGATTTCAGGACTATTGCCAACATAAAAATGGCCACATCATGCTCAGTTTAAGGGTCAAAATGTGAACACTTCTCAATGGTAAAGGTCACCTTCTTCTCGGATGGTGGTTTGGAATTCCCTGGTCTATCATCTTCCATATCATCATCCATCTCCTCATCAGATGGATGTCCGTCCGACTCAGATCCAGATTCCGATCCAGATTCATCTTCTGTCTCTTCATCCTCATCAATTTCAGAAGCAGCTTGACCATTCAGGTCAGAAATCAACAGGACACGGAGACCATTTTCAAGGAAAAGTGACCTGTCAGAGGTGATAGAAAAGTTATTTTATTCAACTGTGCATTCTGGCCTTATCATCACAATAGCCTTTAAATGAGTTTACAATTTTAAAAAGAACAAAACTTTTTGGCAGAATATTATTTTTCAGACTTTTTGGATCATGTGACGTTATATGAGCAGTGTGTTCACTTCCAAACTAATTTTGTTATTATAGTGAAAGCTATTTATTTGTCATTGATAAATAAGGAATTGTGTGAACTAATATTAAAGTGCCCAAAGGGAAACTAAAACACACTCTGAATTTTCACAACACCAAGATTCATTTGCAGAGGATCCTTCATACGAGGGAGAAATCACCACTACTGAAGGAGTGTATATAGGCTTTTATCTGGCCTTGTCCCGTTGTCCCAAAGAGGGGCTCACCTGCTGTTTATATAACATTGAATCTAGGAATTCAATTCCACCAAAGTAGGTTAAAATGATACAGATGTATCTTCAACGAGAGAGTAGTCTGTAAAAGATTTTATTTATTAGGCCCCACTCCTATGCCCGCAGGGAGAACACATCGATCCTTCTTTTATACAACATTTAGTCTCCTTGGTCTATGAATTCTTTATACCAAACTAGATTAAAATCTATTCACACGGTCTATACCACATTTCAATTTTTATTTTGTGTTTCACCTGTATTCATTTCAATTGCTATATCAGTATACTTCACCTGTATTCTCTTGTATCATTTTCTGACTTTGTAGGCAGCATGACTTTCTGAAGCTTTCCCGTTGGCCGTTGTGGAACACTGTGGCATTTCCTTTTCATCAATGGATATTTGTTGGTTCCAATGACAGTCAGTGTCTTCTGGGAATCTAGTGATTCCGCACAAATCAACGGCACTGTCCTCAGATAACTCTTTGACAACCTGAATAATTTTTGGCCACACCTTCAACACAACAAACATGTGCAAAATTGAAGCAGGAAAAAGTTCTGTCAAAACAGGACTATATAAGTTTTACTGCTACGGATCAGTGACCCACTGCTCCTTCAATATCTGCTTTAACATTACGATAGTGTCTGCCATTATAACTCCTTCAAATAAAATAATCTCCTGGAAGAAAATATAAAACCTAAAAAATCAAATTACTGTATTATTTTCGGATACATTAAATTAAAGTAACCTGCAATGATTTAACAGAAAAAACATACCCTCCCAGAAACATCTACCAATTAAAACACTGCATCACAGGCACTAGCCTCGTCTGTCAATACATCTATAAGACTATATATGTGTATTAACAGACGAGGCTAGTACCTGTGACTGACAGGTAGGAAACTAATCACTGTAAATAATCCCCTTTCTCACGCCTCTGCACAGGGTCTCAAGGCCATAAACATCACCATTGATGGAGCCCTTGTACAGTTAAGAAGAAGAACCTGTGCAGTTTTTATTTAAACGGTTGACACCGGTAGGATCATTGGACCTAGTAATCGGATGCTACTTTCAGGTGAGCCTTGACAAAGTCTTGCGAGGTCTGTATAAACATTTGCAGGTCCGCCAGGATTAATACCCGAAATTGTTACATCTATAAACGAACAGGCCCCTGGCCTCCAGGCTTTCTCTCCTTCTGACAGTGACAGAACCAGCTGTTCACAAACACCCCTGATTANGCATAATGAGGAAAAATGGTATTACAAAGGAAGTAAGGTTGAATGTGTGGATCAATTTCCTTACCTAGGTGTTATTTTAAATTACAACAATAAATTCACATCTATACAAAAACAATTAGCTAGCCAAGGACGAAAAGCTATGTTTGCATTATTTGCAAAGTGTTCATCATTAAACTTAAATGTAAAAACTATGCTCCATCTTTTCGATACATATGTAAGCAGTATCCTTTTCTATGCAAGTGAAATTTGGTGTATGCACAAAGCTCCAGAGATAGAACATGTACATTTACATTTTTGTAAGAAACTACTAAAAGTGAAGAAATCGGCCAATAACAACATGGTATATCTTGAATTGGGACGGTTACCTCTAGTTTGTATGAGAAAAATTAGAATGATAAAATATTGGTTTAAATTATTAAAATCTGAAAATTGTATTATATCAACTTCCTATAGGTTTTTATTACAATGTTGTAGTAGAAATGATTTCAACTGGGCTATAGCAGTAAGAGATGAATTAAACAATCTAGGTCTTAGTGATGTTTGGTTTAATCCATGCATCTCTCAGCAAAATCTGTTATTACCATTGATAAAACAAAGAATTTTTGATCAAGGCATACAATCCCTAAGGGCCACAGTGGAAAACTCTCCAAAATGTTTATTGTATAAACATATAATAGATTTTGGAGAAACATTACAATTTTACCTCACAAAATATATACCAAAGAAATATCGCATTTGTTTAACTCGAATACGTACATCTACCCATTCTTTAGCTATAGAAGTTGGAAGGTATAATAATATACCTAGAGAACGTAGATATTGTAAACAGTGTAACTCCCCCTCTGAATTAGAGGACGAATTTCATTTTTTATTGGTCTGTTCTAAATTCCAAAATCTCAGATCTCGTTTTATCAAAAGCTATTATTGGAAAAAACCATCTGTGTTTAAAGTCGTCCAGTTATTGAGTGTCCATAATATTAAAGAATTGTGTATACTAGGAAAATTCATATATGAGGCAAACAAATTAAGGGTATTATAATGGAATATGATTGTTTTCATCCTCTGTACATTGTCCATGATTTGTTTAAAAAATGTTTTGTATACTGATGGGCCAATGGCCCAAAGTTTGAATAAAACTTGAAACATATCCGTGTAACATGGATGAGAATATAAGGGATTATATGAAAAGACTGTTTATTACTGACCTACTCCACATCTAACTTTCACAGTTTGGTCATAACCATTGGCGATTAGTGTCAGTCCTGACTTATGTTTACTTCTCCACGTGCTGTGCTATCATTATGGAACTCTTCTGTGTTTCCTGTGACCCTGTTGAAAACGCGGGAAATACAAATCTCCACATGTTAGGCCATCATTATCTGTGGTACCTTCTAGGCCCGATTTTTTTTTATTGTTATCGATATAGATATGGTCCGATAACAATAAAAATAAATCAAAGATCGGGCCTAGAAGTTACGGTTCCCGCAGCTGGTCCGATAACAATTATTTTTTAAAAGATCGGGCCTATAGAATCTACGGTTCTCGCAGCTATAACCTATCTGTGGAAATTCGTCACAAAATGTGTTCAGCAATTATGACCCCTATTCTGATGTTCAAACTTACGAGAAAATATTGCAAAGATGTTGTTTCTTGTGATTAAAGCAAAGACGTACAATGCATACTGTCCGCTTACTTCTCTGATTAAAGAATGACAAGACGATATTGATAGGCTATTCATAATGATAAGCAATGTATTGAAGCTGAACATAACTGTAATCCGGCAACATTTTCCGCTCAGTTTCGCTCAGGTAAGCCGGGGCTTGTATAGATGTATCTTCTTCTCTACTTAATAGTATAACGTACTTTCGCGTACTATTGACTTCTGGTTGCTATTTACAAATGTTATTTCATTAACGCGTAGTAAGTTTGATGTGGGGGTCCAGCCAGCACTTTCTTTGCAGTTTGCTCTCTATTCTCTAGCTTTTCTTTCCTCTCCCTCCGTTGTTCCTGAGTTAAGTCCCTAGTTAGCACAACCCGTTTTAAAACTCCTTCCATCCTGTTCTTAATCAGCCTGGCTTTCTCTAGTAATGTTTTCCTTTGCTTTTTCGCTCCAAGGACAGCTACTAAAGGCCTTGTAAAATCTGGTTTCTTTTTGCCCATCCTGAAGTGTGCCAGTATGGCCAGGTCCTGTACTTCCAAGGCTTCACTGATTTTCCTGATGACATTTTCGTCTCGCGCCTTGTTTGTTAGTGGGACAGAATCGGATTGTTCCGGAACATTGAAAAGAACGATATTGTTCGCCTTGTTTTTTCTTTCTTCCAATTCCTTGTTCCTTGCATCCACCATGGCCTTTACACTATTCTCCATCTTTGCCTCTATACACTCCTGTGATTTTTTTTTATCTCCTGGCTTATTCGACGAGTGGTGTCGGTTTCTAGTTTTGATATCCTAGTATCAACATGTGTGCATATCATTATATATAGTGCTGATAGTGAAAAATTGTAGTTCATCATAACTGCTTTTTATGTGTATATGCTTTGCTTCAATGCTTTATACTAACACGGACTTAGATAACATCTAATCTAATTTCGTGATACTAATATGTATTTTATGGTAAAAAATACTGTCATGCTATATGTAGAGCAGCCAGATTAGTCACCAACAAATTTAGAAACACCTCCAGTGTTGGTGACATGCTTCAACACCTTAACTGGCAATCACTTGAAGACAGAAAGAGAGTCATGCAACTGACAACACTACATAAAACTATACATGACAAAGTCAATATAAGAAAAGACCAACTCATACCTCCATCCCGCCACACAAGACACGCACACCAGAACTCATATCAAACACGTGCACTCTCATGTAGAACACAGGTACGACAACAATCCGTTTTCGCTCGTACCACAGTAGACTGGAATAACCTGCCTCCAGATATAACCTCCATTACCTCTTCTGACTGCTTTAAACTGTCCCTAAATAAAAAACACTAATAACTCTCATACTTTCAAGTTATAAATATTCCCTTTCACTATCTTTTATCTTTTCTTCTCTTGGCCTAGCACCCACTATCACATGACATCATCTTCAAATAGATGAAGCTGGTAATTACTATGTAGATGTAAGCATGTATATATATATTTAGCTTATAACTTTGCATGGAGACTTAAGTTTTAATATTTTCTCTGTTTCATAATGTTTTATATATATATATGTAATTGTTTGATTTGATGCTTTTTACTTATGTTTTTCGGAATAATAGCTTTTAATATCTAATGTTAAATGTTTTTAAATATCCGACGTTAAATAAAGTTAACTGTATTCATTATATTTTATTGTATTGTAGCATTGCGTCTCGTATTACCTATATAGGAAACGCCCCGTCCCTGGAAGTTTAACCGTAGCATTGGTTGTATGCTACATATATTCTGTAAATGAGAGTTGTTCCCCTTGACAGTCACAAGATTTTATTTTCGTTTTGACCTGGCTTTGTGAGATGAATTTGTCGAAAGTTAGTTGACGTCCAATTCACTAGCAGGCGACAATGACACGTCAGATTTACAAAGTAGCATCTGTACTGCTTTGTATGCAGTCCGTATTAACATTTGAAGAGAAAAAAGGTAAAAGAAAGTTCTGTCAACTTTTGTGTATTGTTTACGTTTGTGACTGTACTTTGAGCCTGTCATTTGTGGATGGATGCTTAACCATTAAGTTCAACTAGTGCGCTAAAGGGTAATATTTGGTTATGTTACATTAAAGATCACGAATCATATATGTTTAATTTGGATATATTGAATTTGTTTTCGAATGTCAAAAGAGTTTTAATCAATATAATGCTGGTGAACTATTTTCATTAAGACATCAGCCTTTAAATGCCTTAATTACTGTTCACAAAGTTCTTGTAACAGAAGTAATTATTTTTTTCAAGGCCTCCTCTAGGATTTGAACCTGGGACCTCTAATTTACGTATTAGTTTTGTGCTCATTTCAAATGAGATAAAAAAAAATATCCCTAGCCTCGTCTGTCAATACACCCATAATATAATAATTTATATAATGGGTGTATTGACAAATGAGGGTAGTACCTGTAACTAGCTGAGTTGTTAGGTAGCGGCTAGTATTTTACTTGGGTGACATACTCCCCCTCCAGGAAAGAGGTTGTCCCGAAATTTCCATGGGTCATAGGCATTCTTGTGAAAGTATCGAAGGCATTCTTGTGAAAGTATCGATGAGTATATATTTGTCAAAACATCATGTAGTTCCTGAGTCCCTAAGTGTATGTGGGCACCAATGTGAAACAGAGGTCATTATTTTTTCAATGCCTTTGCTAGGCAGGGTTTTTGCCAGGTCAGGGTTTCGTACAGCAAGAATTCAGATATATTGTATCTGGAATGTTTCTTGATTCTTTTTTTTTTATTTGACCCTTTTTTATTTTCTTTTTTGCATAATATAATGACAATGACAACACAATTTTACAATGGGGTACATAAATGTGAGAGAAAGTTTCAATTTGATCATATATTTGTTACACGCAGATTCTGCCTTGAAGAGCAGAGATATACTTTTGTTCGATTATATATGCTGCTGTGTTTATTACAACTGAAGTACCAATACATACCTATATTGCAAAAAGGACATTTTATTTATTTTATACACATAACATATAACTTTCATGCATCCAATCACTCATTACAAAATGCTTAATACCGCTAGCATGTCTATAAGGCAATTAAGTTAGATTATTTGGAACCATTTGTTTTCAAACAAGTTTCTTGATTCTTGACAAAGCTAGACTTCCAATGGTAGTTCATTTTCAGAAAAAGTTTTGATTCTAAGTGATTTATTTCTGAAAAGAGAACGTTAAACTGGCAGTGAGATTTCGTCTGTTTTTCGGCCATAATTAGTACCCAAATTGGTACACCATATCACAGGCTAATATAGATGAATTTTGTTTTAACTTCTACTGGTTGATGTTCTGATTGCAACAAAATATATTGCTTTTATAAATACCATGCTGAACTACAATTGTATATATTAACATTTTCATATTATCCGGTTATAAGGACCAGAAATCAACATTTAAACATGCTTATAAAAGTGGTAACCCCTTCAAAATCTTCCAAAATTTCTTTGTTGTACACGTTTTTACTGGTTCTCTGATATGTTTACTTTGAAGTCATTGTGTATACTCTTAAAATGTTTTTGAAAACAAAACTATTCAGTGGAAATGCTGATAAATATCTATTTTTTTATATACTGTCAGAAGAAAATATTCAAATCGAATTTTAAAGTACTTTTCAAACTATTTTCTGACAATGTACCAATTGTGGTAGCATGACGTTAGAGGAAAACATTTTGCTACTCACATTGCAGGTTTTGTTTTTTCCAAACTTATGATATTTTCAAAGACCTGTACATGTGGAAACACTGATGATATTTCCAAATTTTTGCTCAGGGTCCCTTTCCCAAAATAGCTGGCAAAAACCCTGCTAGGAGTCGAACGTTGGTCCTCAGGTTTACTAATCTTACGCTCTACCGAATGAGCTAAAGAGAAATTCTCCCCATCTGAGTCAGTATAGGTATTTTAGCGGCTAGTATTTTACCAGGGTGACATAAATATTGCTAAATATATTCCATATTTAGCTCACCTGGTCTGAAGGGTGAAGGTGAGCTTACGCCATACCATGGTGTCCGTTGACAATTTTGTCTATCAACATCAAAATCTTCATAACCGATGATTGGAATTCAACCAAATTTAATTGGAAGCATCCCTAGGTGGTGGGGATTCAAGATTGTACAAATGGATGCCGGAGAGGCTGACCCAACGGGGGTTTGAGGGGCAGGGCCCATCAGGGGTAATTTGGCCATATTGCTTTAAGCGACTTCCTCTCAAAAACTAAGAGAAGGATATCAACCATATTTGGTTAGAAGCATTCTTAGGTAATGGGGAGTATAAATTGTACAAATCCAAAGGATGACACCCTGGGGGTCTGAGGGGTAACCCAAAAAGCCATACTGCTTTAAATGTTTCTTCTCTGGAACTTAAGGATGGATATCAATCATATCAATTGCTGGCAACCAGGTAGCTTGAATGGTTAGAGCATCCGTCTAGAGTTTGGAGATCCCAGGTTCCAATCTTGGTCTGGCTGTTGCATTTTTCCTTTCCTGCTACCTTTAATGCTCAACGAAATATGCCCTGCACAGAAGGTGTTACAGGGTGGTGTATATCTTCAGGGTCGAGGACTTTGTCGAAGAAGGGAGCTCATAATGTAGCAAAACTGGACTGTGGGACTATTGAAGGCAACCAGGTCCAGTTGGTTAGAGCATCCATCTAGAATTCGGAGGTCCTGGATTTTGAATTCCAATCCGGCTGGTGCATTTTTCTTCTCCTGTTACACATGTACATGTAGGCACTTGACTCTCTGTGAAAAATAACAGCATGTAGTGTACATATATGAAAACATAATGCATTTTAGTATATATAGATATGTACAGTCAGATCCGTTCTATATGGTCTATGAATGACTGATGTGATGCCTTTGGGTTTTGAGGAATGTGGTACAAAATGGACCAGGGAAAAGAAGTTTGTTTTGGAAACTTCGTCCTAGGAATATTGACCTGAATTGGAAAGCAGTATCACTAGGTAATAGGGATTAAATGTTGAGTAAAAGAATGATGTGTCACCTCTGGAGGTAGAGAGGTAGTGCCCAAAAGAGGAAATAGGGGTTAATCTTAAATAAAAAAACTGCTCCTGAATACTAAGGGTGAAGGAATTTCACAAAATTTTGCATGGAGCATCACTGGACCAAGGAGTTCAATATCACATAAATGAATGGTATGTCTCTCCTTGGAGGAGGAGGGGCAGGCCGTAAAGTGGGAATAGGGGGTTAACTTCGAAAGATTTTTTAAGTCAAGGAAAAGGAATTTTGACCATATTTGGGAATTGATGGTTGTTTAAATGAATGAAATGCCCCTTTCTCCCAACTGAAGGACAAATGAATAGGGCCTAAAAGACTACTCCTTAAAGGGGCTGGTCGGGTAAAATAAAATACAAAATAAATGGGTCTAAATGCGTTCTCTGGGCTTCCAAAAGTTATGCCACGGCAATATGATGGTCGAGTTATGCTTGCAATGTCCAGTTTTGACCACTGAAATCTCGGGGAAGCCCAGCGTAAATTTAGCGCAGATCTATTTATATTTGTCATGTGGTTGTTTCGAAAGTGAGGCAGTGAAGATAACAACAATAGCAGGCCGTCATGTGCCATGTCGGACTCAACTAGCAGACAAGACAGCAATACTATACGTAAATAATTGTTTTCAAAGGTCATGTATGATGCAAGTGTAGTATTCCTACTTATATGTTGTTATATATAACGGTATTGATACCTCGTGCCTGTCATGACTTTTGCATGCATCTTTTTCTTTCGCCACGATGTTTACATTTGGCCTTGTTGATGATGCGCGTGCGGTAAAATTACATCTCTGATCTGGGTCAATTGAGAGTTTTAGACTGTCAGGTGACGATTTAGGATTTCTTTAATATAATTATAATTTTTAGTCTTAGGGAGTGAATTTCAGCAAAATTTGAATCTGTATATTTCATAAGAAGGTAATTTAAACATATGTATGCCATTTTAGTAAATATGACATTTTTTCCACGACCAGCCCCTTTAAGTATTAGGGAAGGGATTTCAACATTATTTGAGATAGTAATAGTATTCATTGACTGATTCCTAAGCTTTAAGGAATCTATCCATGTATGTAATGAAATCTGGACCTCTGGAAACAAAGCTGTTGAGATGTACAAGATTATTTCTTCATTACAAGAGAAAGGATTTTGATCTGATTTGGAATGGAGCATTTCTTAATGAAGAGATTCATTGTTGTATAATTAACAGGTGTTACTCCCCTTTGGAGCAAATGAGTGACACTCATTAAGTGAAAATTGAACAAGAGCAGTTGTTCTTCATCATGTTTATTTCGAAAAAAACCCTCATAATGGTCCTGTCACAATACCTGTACATGTTTTCTTATTGGCTGAGAAATGTTCAGCCTCTTACGTATACTTCACCATGCCATTGGCAATCAAACTTGATCTGAGTATTGCTCTGGTAGAGCTTAACAGGTGCTGTTATTTTTTTAATTTGATTCAAATCCATTATGGTCACACCATGTCCTCTAATTGCCTGAGAAATCCTTTGCTAATTCATTTCTGTTCCACAAGATCAATTTTAACCAGATGTTCCAGAAAAATGCTATTACGAGGTTTTGTTGCAATTCTTTGGGTTCATAGGAATTTTAATGGCCACCATGGTCACAAGATAGTAGAAACGATTCTCAACTTCTTGTGAAGTTCAGATAACAAAAGAAAGAAGTGAGCGATACAGGCCCAATGGCCATGGGCCTCTTGTAAATTTTTCCATTTAGGGTAGAAATACTTGAAATGAAAATTGATATACATTTTGAGTGTTTCATTCCATATGGTGTCATCCAGTTCAATATTAAATCCCTATCTGGCCCTTTATATGTTTTGTGAAAGTTCCCTTATTGTATCTATAAGGATCCCCGTACCGCTGCCAAAACATGTAACAGTGCATAAACATTGGACCCTTGTTTTCACCAACATGAATATAGCTTTGATAAATCATTTCTAAATAAAAAAAAACATTTCTTGCAAGACTTTTATGAGAAAAAAAAAATGAAAAAAAAATTTCAATCAAGTATAGCAATGTTCTCACTGTTCTGATTGTAAAAATCAGCATTGCAAAACAAGGATTCAAACCCTGAACAGTGGACCTCAATCATATTGTTACCCTGTTGCTCTAACAAACCCTGGACAGTACAAACCCTGGACAGTGGACCTCATTTTGTTACCCTTTTGCTTTAACAAACCCTGGACAGTGGACCTCATATTGTTACCCTTTTGCTCTAACAAACCCTGGACAGCGGACCACATATTGTTACCCTATTGCTCCAACAAACCCTGGACAGTGGACCTCGTATTGTTACCCTGTTTTAACAAACCCTGGACATTGGACCTCATATTGTTACCCTTTTGCTCTAACAAACCCTGGACAGTGGACCACATATTGTTACCCTATTGCTCCAACAAACCCTGGACAGTGGACCTCGTATTGTTACCCTGTTTTAACAAACCCTGGACAGTGGACCTCATATTGTTACCCTTTTGCTCTAACAAACCCTGGACAGTGGACCTCATATTGTTACCCTTTTGGTCTAGCAAACCCTGGACAGTGGACCTCATATTGTTACCCTTTTGCTCTAACAAACCCTGGACAGTGGACCTCATATTGTTACTCTTTTGCTCTAAAAAACCCTGGACAGTGGACCTCATATTGTTACCCTTTTGCTCTAACAAACCATGGACAGTGGACCTAATAGTGTTACTCACTTGCTCTTACAAAATGAGCTACCTGGTAATGGAAGTACTTTTGCCAAATTGCACTATAGTTATATCAAAAACAAAATTAAGTGGAGGTTACTGCATATACGGAAAACCCCAGTGGAATCTCTATTGTTTTGCCAGCAGTGGGAGGGAAACTTAACCTGGGAAATTGTTATGGTGGAGTTTTGATGTCTTGCTTCATTTTCTTTACACAGGGTACTTTTGGCAGGTTTCTGACTTCCACTATGATGCCAACTATAGTTCCCATGGCAACCCTCTTAACATGTGTCATCAGGGCCAAGGTCAAGGTTACAGCAACAGTCAATATGGCAACTATCATTGTGATGCACCCTGGGTGTTGATTGAGTCTGCAATAAATGCAATGGTGAAGTTCCATCCATATCCAGACTTTGTGATTTGGACAGGGTAAGATTATTTTTGTTTTTATCAAAATGTATTACATATGCATACATGTATATTAATAAGCATTGTTTTTACTTTATTTTCCAATACATTAAATGTCGGATACATTAATTGTGAAAAGGAATTGCAACAAAAATGAGTATTATTCTTTCTGAAAGGTAAATTCAGAGGATGAGCTTTGAATAAATTAGGAGAAGAGGGATATGGTTGTAAATATAGATACAATTAGATGTGTATATAATTTATGTGGCCTTGAAAATAAATCATAAACATCATACTGTTTAAATGTCTTCAAAACTAAACCTGCCTTGAAAAAAGGCTAGCTTCATAAATAAACCTCAGATTCCTTACTGAAAAAAATTAGTTTGATTTCAGGGTATTGCAATAATTTTGGGAAAGTAATAACTGTACAGTTTCACAATGGCATTCAAAATTGTCAAAATATTAATTATGGCAATTAATTTTTCAGAGATAGTATTCCACATGTAAAAAACTCTGATTTGGATTCTTTGAAAGTGTATGAGAACATTGGAAATGTTACCTTGAGACTTAAACAGGGCTTTCCTAACACCACCATCTACCCTGTCCTGGGTAACCATGACGAATACCCAGCAGACCACTACCCTAACGGGTCAACAAACTACTACAGTGACATCCTGTATAAGTCTCACTGGCATACACTACTGGAAAATAATACTGCTGACGAGTTTAAGACAGGTAAACATGGACACCTTGAGACTTGAGTGCTTTTTAAAATTTGATTCATGAATACATCTGGCAGCTTTCATTTTAGCTAGCTATGATTAAAACATTTTGACAAGCAAACCTGAAAACTAGCTTTGCAGTATTTGTTATTTCTTAACCAAGAATTTGAAAGCAAACAGAAAAAAAATATCAGAAGAGTAGTCCAATTCTTTTTGTATTTTACCTGTAAAGGAGTTGAAAATTCATATATACACAAAAATATATTTACGAGGTTGCTACACTTCAGACAAATAGGTTCTTAATCAAGCTTTGACCGTAGAAATGTGTTAACATGTTTAATCAAGCTTTGACCGTAGAAATGTGTTGACATGTTTAATCATGTTCTTTGCATGTTAATTTTCATTTGATATAAATACAAAAATGTACCAAACTGCTAAGTCTTTATCAAGAAATTGCATATTAAATGTTTTAAATTGTTCTTTTTCTGTTGAATATGAATGGGTAACAAAGTGTTACAATGTTTAATTGTTACAATGTTATACTTTCCTATGACTGTTAATTGTTACAATGTTATACTTTCCTATGACTGTTAATTGTTACAATGTTATACTTTCCTATGACTGCTTCAGACATACAATGTTTAATTGTTACAATGTTATACTTACCGTATGACTGCTTCAGACATTTCTTTTCATATCTTATCATTTAGCATAGTTATAACTATTTTAATGTAATTCCCCCAAGCAATGCACAATGGCATATTTCCCAAAATTCAAGGTAGAGTACTTTTCCTATGTAGAAATCTTATAATTTTTCCTATATACTGTGGTTGTTGAAGGTGGCTATTACCAGGGGCATACAAAGACAGGACTAGTGATGGTTGGACTCAATACAAACCTGCTGTTCAGCCAGGACCCCCTGACTAAAGGCACAGGAGACCCTGCTGGACAGTTTCAATGGCTGAGGAGGAAACTTTCAGAGGCGAGGAGCCTCAATAAAAAGGTTCTTTTCTTTCTGGAGTGGTTTTTAGGTATCAGAAGTAACCTATACCTGTCTATGACATTATTTCTTAAAATAATAACATTCTTCAAAAAGTTCTATCTATAAATTTAACATATACATATATATATTTCCATAGCAAATTCATTTATTTTTAGTAAAGACAAATTAGGCTTTAATTATTTATTTTTTTCCCGAATTGATTTTTTTTTAGTAATTTTCATTAATTAAAAATCAATTAATTAAAATTATTAAACTATTTAAAAATAAAGTCTTCCTAAACCCATTCAGAATGTCACTCACCAAAGAAACAAATATTTATGGGAACCCGACCTTTGACATATATGCATAATAAATACTTTATATTATATATTTTGTAATCATTGTAAAGTAATCATAAAATTATTTTCAAAATATATTTACATGTGTTACCATATTTCTTTGTTTCAGGTGATTCTCTTTTCCCATATTGCACCTGGTTATTTTGAAAAGTACCAGGATTTGATGTGGTTTTATAATGATTACAACAACGAATACATCAAGATCCTCCAGACGTTTAATGATGTCATAGCTACCCAAGTGTACGGCCATGAGCACACAGATAGCTTTCGGTTGGTAAAGGACAGTTATGGTAAATACTATTATTGTCCTTATCATCATTTTTTTTAAATTATATTTGGCCTTATCAAATTAGGATGACATGATTGCAAAAACAATTACCAGAGGTATTGATGTCATTTGTTGCATTAACCATATAATCAAAACAAATCGCATGGAAGTCCATTTATTTTTTAAACTGTTGTCACATTTTCTTGTGTGTGACCAAACAATGCTTTGCTTGGAACCCACTTTTAAGGAGGCTGGCACTCACACTGAATGTTATTTATGTTTTGGACAGCTGTTGAGGGGAAATACACAATACACATTTGTTTGTAGGAGAACCAGTGGACATCTTATTCCTGAGCCCTGCTGTTACTCCTTGGAACAGTAGCCTGGCAGGAGTAGGAGCCAACAATCCTGGCGTGCGGCTTTACGAGTACAACCAGAATAACGGCGAAATCATCAACTACTGGCAGTATTTTCTTAACCTTTCTTCAGTGATTTCAGGAAATCCGCCAAATTGGGCGTTGGAGTATGAGGCGAAAAAAGTCTACAACCTAACAAAATTACAGCCATTAGAAGTGTTGGCATTAGTAAATTCATTCGATAATGATAAATTCAATAAGCTTTATATGAAATACCTCCAGTTTAACTCCGTCAGTCAGGATGTCATGCCTTACTGTGACGAGTCATGTGTTAAACAACATTTCTGCGCTATCAGCGAGCTGGAGAAATCTGGGTACCAATCCTGTCTCCATGGTGAAATAACGACGCATCATCCCCGTCCCCACCACTCGACCCCCAAGGCACCTCCAAAAGATGTTCCGAAATACATGGAGTACGTTATCATTGGGCTCGGTGCCGTTGTCCTGTTACTCTTCATCGTCATTGCACTCATTTGTCTGAAAAAGCACCGGTTCATTCCTAACAGATATTCAAGGTTCAACTCCAATCTGGCGTCTAACCCAATCAATTAAAATGTGAAAAAGTAAGTTGAATTTTTGGTGTTTTGAAATGTTCACGTTGGTGCTTACCAATTTTTTTAGCAAACAGTTGAATGAAAAACGTTTGCTCTTTATACATATCATGCAATGATATTATTGTAACCAGCCATGGGTACCATAGATTGCTTAAATTATGTTTGATATTCATTTTTGCACTCGTTAACCGTTGATCTCAATAATGATAATAATTTGAGGTTCTTATATATTGCTTTATCACAAACCTAGGTCGTAGGTCATCTCAAAGCTGTTCACAAATTGTTATCCGTCTTACAGTGAGTGACATAATATGAGTGGAATACAAATTAAAGTTCTGGTAAATATTTTAATACTAAAAGGTAAGTTCACAAAAATGAGTGTGTGCAACATATCGCTTTAGACTATGGTGTTTGATGATTGAAGATGGCTGCATGATGTGTTTAAACTGTCTTCCAATGTATGATTATGTATGTCTATTTGTATTAGTACATGTAATGCAATGAATGTGATCTCCAGTAGATTACTTGTAATATCTTTAATTTACTTGACTATTCAGAAGAATGAGGTTAGATAGCAAATCTCTTTGGGTAATCCAGGTTCCAGTCCAACGTGCTTTATTCTATTTATTGCAGTGATTATGTGCACTTTTGAATTATGATGTAATTTTGCTTTACATTGTATTTATTTATAAGTATTATTCATCCTAAATATTACCCTTTAAATGATGTGGTTTGTTGTGACATGTACTTATTGAGAACTGTTTCAGTTAGACTGCTCAACTGTGACTTATTATAATGTGCTATATTTGAAGAAAATAGTGTGTTCTTAACCTTAACTCATAAAGGGCTGTTCCAGGATTAACTTTATGGAGGGGACGGGGGCCACATTTTTGAAAGCTCCATTGCCCATCAAATATTGAATCTGATTTAATATAAGGAATGCCACTGATACTAATACAGGTGCCTTCCTCCTCAAAATACCATTAATCTTGGAATGTCCCTTATTATTTTGTGACTTGGTTTATTTTCATGCTAAAAGTTGAACTCTTAGGCAAATATTTCAAAACTGTATTTGCTGGCATTTTTTTAATAAAGAAAATGTGCATGTGTGGCATATTTCAATTGCAGTACACATCGATATATCAGGGAGGCAAGAAATAAACTTTTAATCGTAAACAATTCCATCTGTCATGCGGACTATTTGGTTTATTGTTAAATTAAGTACATGTGTGAACGAATGATTTAAGTAATACATATCAATCAGCCAGTAGACCAGGATATATCCAGGATGGTGACATGTCTCTATCCGCAGTGTGTCCTATTGGTGAAGTATTTACAATAAATGTATCCCAGAACAATTACAAGAGGTACCCTTGATTTCAAGGGTTTTAGCCTGTGGAGGGATTTTTTGCTTGTAACATGTTGCAAGACTGAAAATAGTTTGCAGTTGTTTGGACCAACTCGGAGACTGTTTCCTGAGTACATCTCCTCCCTAACACCAAAGGGAAATAGTTTTGACTTTTGACTGTAAAGACATGAACAACTGTGTTGTTACCTTATCAAATGCTATCTGACATTATTTTTAACTGTTGACCAGGTGGCTATGTTTACCTTGTAAAATTTCTAGGGAAACTCAACGTAAGTATGTGGTCAATATAATAGATTATGTTCTGGTAGAGGCATGCATTGTTCTTGTTTCTTGTTAAATGAAAATAAGCCATTGTTCTTAATTTGTTTTCATGCCATAAAGTGCTCCATACATTTATAAACATGTATCACGTGCAATGTTCATTACCATGATGAAGTGCCTTTATAGACTTTTTATTGTAATAAAATAAGTATGATTTTTGTTGATTAAAGCATGCTCTTTTTTGTTATCAATTCTCTATGTGTCTGTACAGTTTCAACAACTGTTCATGTTAAAGAAAAAGTATAATCATCATTGTCATGCCTCCTAAACTTAAACATGGAGCCTTGTCCCTTCTTGTGAAGAAAGGAAGAAGAAAAACTTACTGCTAAGATAAATATAAAATGTTGGCAATTGAAATATTGTGGTGAATTTTGGGGAGAATTATCTCCCATAGACCGCTAACCACGCCGACAACCTCCCTGGAAAAAGAGACTTAAGATACACGTTGAAGTCGTTTTATCTTCTGAGCCGCTGGTATTTGAAATATATCAAATGCCAAAGGACACGTTTGCAGGGGCCAGGGAACTGTTTGAGTGAAGCCCTCCCCAAGGCTATGGCAGGAAATTCTGCCAAGAACGGGAGACTCATGCCATTACAGAAGCCTGGCCACTGTCGCTCAACTGTTGTGGAGCAATCCGATAGCGCTTTAACCCACTCAGGTGGGGTACTCACCGGCACAGCTTGGTAGACTAGAGCACCCCAAAAGGTGAGTAGACTAAAGCACCCCAAAAGGTGAGTAGACTGGTGTGGGGGTGACTAGGCAATATTTTCATAGAAGCTAGCTCTATTTAAGTCTGCCAAGAATAGAAAGGTTCAGAAAGAGACGGTTCTCTGCCTCTCAGGCAGCCTCCCAGCCTCTAGAGACCGAGTGGTTTTCTGCTCAACCGTCTGTGGAAACTGGGGGATCGGCCCGTTGAGCGATTATCTACTCAGGGGTGGGATTGTGTTATCAACACCCTGTCAATGTCAGCATACAAGTGGAAGGCATTCTTCCACTTTTGAAACTTCAGACATATTATCCAAATACCATACATGTCTGAGTACCTGGCAAGGGCCAGTATGCCTATGCTCAACCATAAAGTTCATATTTTTAATGGTCCTGTACCATGGAGGAAGGCACAGTTAAAATAAGCCCATCAACAGAATTAGATCTGTATGAAGTATGAGCCCGAACTTCCACTACTGGGCACGGTGAAACTGTGTTCCTGTTAGGGGTCCCCTATGCTTAAGGGGTGTCTTGGACCGATAACCGCGCCGACAACCTTGGTGTGACATCTCGACGCAGTCTCTTAACATCCTGACTTTAACCTGTGACTGATTTTCCTCCGCCTATTCTTATAGATTTTGGGACCTGAGAGCAGTTCCCAACTACATGTTGTGACGGTGGGTAATAACACACACCAAATTCACGACAATATTACCGTCAAGTCACTTGTTACATGACTTGACAATTGACTTTTTGCTGTTACCTTGGTTACAGTTATATGTGAATTACCCTAAAATCTAATAAGTTGTGGCTGATTTCTTTATAGTAAAGAAATTGAAGTCCTATTTTAAAAGAATGCCTATTTTCAAAGTGGACCTATCATCAAAAACCATAGATAGATAGCCGTGTATGGCTTATTTTCAAGGCCAGAAGTATGATCCTTATTATCATACCTATAAGGACAGAACATATAATATATAGATGTTGATTGAGACACAAGAAAATATTCATGTACAAGTTAAAATTGGTGCCAGACTGAAAACCTGATCAAGGCATATACACCTGATTTTATATCTCAACAACAGAAACGTTTATAATTATTTTAATCTCTACAAAAATGTCAATAAATATTTTATAAGGTCATTTGAATGAAATCTTAAAACTCCTTTTATAATTTAGAAATCAGTCAATAATGAGTACTTCAAGGAGGTGAAACTTGTATGTCGCACGATTTTTTTGATTTTTTTTTTATAATAATTGGATTTTTATTTATGAACGATTCCATATAAAAATGTTTATATGCCTGGATCGGAATTTTGGTCCGGGTCCGGTCCGGCGAACAAGATTTACCGGGGACCTCAAAAACGTTTGAACGCACGTTTGACGACACGTACTTATCAAGCGCAAATATAACTTTGCTGACCATGTGTTGTGTGAAAAATGGCAACAAACACGCTCACATATGATGGTTGCAATTACCTTAGACAAAGACTGATCTTATCCACTCTTAGTGGGAAAACAGTCAAGGTGAAAAAGATACGATCAAAGGAAGATGATCCAGGATTGAAAGGTGCTTAAACTTATTTGTTATTTATGTAACGCTCTCTCCTAGTAATGTATCGTTTTGTCATATGTTTCCGCGAGTTATGTATTTCCGCGTAACCATTTTATCAAGCTATTTCTTGTAACTACGTGACCTGCTGGACACAACACCAGGAAATTTTAGAGTTTGGCCATCGTCTGTAAACTGACACAAAAATTACCGGAAGTTCGTCAGAAAAACATACGAAATAATCACTGATTAAAAAAACACGCACTTTATATCTTGCTCAAAATGAGCCCATACCTGAAAAAACGGTGAAATGTAACAGAGCGCATGATTAATTAAATATAAATCACTGCCTCCGCATGGGATCGAACCCGGGACCTCTGGCTTACTAGTCTTACGCTCAACCGATCGAGCTAAAGAGAAGTTCTCTTTGGCCGAGCGATATATTGCGGCTAGTATTTACCAGGGTTACATACTCCCCCTTCCAGGAAAGAACTCGTCCTCGAGTTTTTCAGGGGTAACAGCGATGCTTGTGGAGCAAGGCCGAGTATTTTCCCGGGTCCCTACGTGGGCGCCAATGTAACAGAGCGCATGATTAATTAAATATAAATCACTGCCTCCGCATGGGATCGAACCCGGGACCTCTGGCTTACTAGTCTTACGCTCAACCGATCGAGCTAAAGAGAAGTTCTCTTTGGCCGAGCGATATATTGCGGCTAGTATTTACCAGGGTTACAATATATTTCATTCATAAACCTGTCTTTTTTGTAGTCTGACAAACGTACGAAAATGTCGTATTCAAATGAGCATATGAGGATATAATAGTATCAGATACTGGTGCACCGGCAAATCTGGCTACATGGGCAGCTTCTATATAGTCAAATATGACTTTATGTATAGGCCTATAAGACGAATGTAAACAAACAAGTTAATTATGGTAACAAATTCACATGTAATTCAGTATAAAAGACTTTGTCGTAGAATCGATAGATAACAGACATCAGAAAACTCCAGCGTGTATACTTAAAAGTTTCACAGTTATCCATACACTTTTATGGCACATTCATTCCTCTTGGGGCGGTTCCGTATCTGTACACTTCTGCTATATGCCTGTATTTATAAGTGCTAAAATGACCTGACACCACTATTGGTCAAAGTGATGATAAGTTGATTCTATGCAAATGAACATTATTGATTAATTGTAAACCTTGACCAGTACAATTACTGAAGTTATTCCATGGCAGTACCTAAAGGCATAATAGCGCTTCCTAAATAAAAATCATTAATAATTACTATGGATATTCTACATGTCACTACATTTAACTGTTAAGCTATCCCCATTTTGTGCCACAGTTGCTCGCATGTAACATTATGACAAGGTAGACCAAGTGTGGTGTTTACCACTTTTAGACTGATATGGAAAGTTAAGTTGACTGTGGTACCTCAAGGCCCATCCCGAAGTCCAGCTCCAGATGCTTGGAGGGTAATATATTCAGATGACTTGACACTGTTTCCATACTCTGTAAGGAGGAGTCATCCAAATATCTTAGTTACCCTCTGAGCATCTAGATCTAGACTACCCACCCTATAGTTAGAAATAGCTTACTGACTATCTCCCCTTTGGTATACCTGGCTTTGTGAACCATAATGCAGCATTTAGATTTCTCTTCTCCAGGCTTAGTCCTCGGTAAGGAGATGTCGTGTCATCCTAACATCTCAAAAGGTCTTCACACATATCAAATTAAGTTATTTAAAATAATAAATAAAATAAGTAGTTCATTCCATCCAGTTTTCTGGGATGTTGAGCCAAGTGTCTTCTCCATTTGTCATATGCACCTATTTATTTTTATATTTCTTTCAGATTTTGAAGCAAGTATCATCCGACTGTTAGACAAATTAACCAATGGTTCGAAGATTGTTATAAGTGAAACAGGTATACTTTTATAAAGTTATTTTAATTTTAGATTTTGTTTTTGGGATATGAATTTATTAATGGCTAAGGTGTTAATCACCCAAGACTGGGGTGTTGTGAGGAAAAATCACTTAAAAATGAGCCGAACTCCCGGTTTATTTCCCAAAATAGAGTCAAATTAATGCTGGATTTACCTGATAAGCAGTCACTCCTCATAATTCCTACTTGTAATATCAAATACAGCATTGTTATTGTCATTATAGAACATTTATTTTACAGCTAGATGTGTTTTTATAATTACTGACTGGCAAACTGATTTTTAGGTACAAGTCTACTGTACCAGCCTGGACTTCTGATTGGTGGGAAACTGGAACATGAATGTAACACGCAGCGCAGCATAGGCTACTACTTAGAGGCACTTATGTGTTTGGCTCCTTTCACCAAGAAACCAATCAAAGCCATCCTCAGAGGGGTCACCAATGACCAGATTGACCCTTCTGTAAGTAGCCAATTTGATACATGTACTATACATAGTTTTGGTTTCATGTTGTTCTTAAGTTGATAGTCTAAATAATATTACTTGATTTAGCAATGCACACTGTCATGCTAAACTGTCAGATTCACCATATCACAATAACCCTTGACACAGATTAGAATACATTATTGGGGCAATTTTAACATAACTTACAGGAAATTGCTGTTTCTAGTCTATGTTCATATACATTTCTTATTTAGATATATATACCGTAAAAACCTGTGTAATTTGCACATTTATTTGGTAATAATACTACTGACGGTGAATGCCACTGTTGATGACTGGTGTTTTTTTATAATAATTGAATTGACTTTGTTAAATGAAAATAGGTGGATTTGATCAAGTTGTCAACAATACCAGTTTTGAAGAGATTTCTTGGAACAGATGAAGGATTGGAACTTAAGGTAATACAGAATGTTGTTACCTGTGTACAAATGTGCAGTGTAGCCTATCGGTACTGATAATCTTCAGAATATTGAAAATTGTATTCACCAGATCCTCATCTACCATAGATCTAACTGAACATTTCTATATAAACCTGTATAATTTTATTAAGTCCATCTCACTTTATACATATATCAATTGTTTCTATGTAAATGGAACCTGTACCATGTGTAATGTGAACACCAAATTATTTTTGTTTGCTGGTGTCTTGTTTAGACAGGTTTTATAGCACTTTATAATATTGAAATATAAGGGTAGTATTAGACTGTAGATGTAGTGACACAAGGGAATATCTCTCTGCATTGTTATATCATGAAATAACATTTATTACTGAAATCAAATATTTTGCGAGATAAAAAAAATCACAGAAAAAGAGTGGATTACAAACTGCATCACACAGTTAAATTTCTTGAATATTAAATGCCCTTGGTGTAAAAACAGACCTGAAATATGATAAGGTTTCAAACCACAAAAATAGGATAAGAATCAAAACCACAAAGATAGTATAAGAATTGAAACCACAAAGATAGAATAAGAAAATATTGTTGGGCACTCCTGTGCTCCCAAATTACCTCCCCTATTCAATTAATCAAAACATTTTAAATTATATTTGATGTAGATCACAAGACGAGGGGCTGCACCAGAGGGTGGAGGAGAGGTAATCTTTAACTGTCCATGTCGACAGAAGCTCCGTCCTCTACAATTGACAGATCCCGGTAAAATCAAACGTATTCGAGGTGTGGCGTATCCTTTCTCTGTTACTTTTGAGGTCTTCACCAGATGTTTTAATCATTTCTTATAATATACATAATATGCTGCAAGGTATAGTCATGAAATTGTGTGCAAATCTCCACATGATATTTCAGCCTTTTTCTATGGTGCCTCAAGGGCTGATAAAAGGCCCCATTCCCAATGGGAAATGTGCATAAATTTCCCAATTTTTGTGTGATGCTGACATGTTTTCCCTCATTATAAGATTCTGTTATTTCTCATTATAAGACTAGTCATATGGTATTGTCACCGTTGTATATTGCTTACTGTTTTAGTAGCAACCACCTGTTGGTAAACTTATAATCAGGAAATACATTACACTTACACTGTGTAATTATTAACACTTTTAATTAATAATAATAATTGGAGGTTCTTGTATACCGCTATATCACAGCCTAGTTTGTAGGTCATCTCAAAACGGTCCACAAGGGCCTTTGCAACCAGCCAACATCTTTCTCAAACTTTTTTAAAGTTCATTAAATTTATGTGGCACATCTAATGATGTCTACAACCATAGAACTGAACTGTGGTGACACAATTTTGTCTATGTGCTTGCAATAGTTTTCATGACAGCCTGTGAAAACACTGGTAATCTGTCATTTTCTGTCTTGAGTGTAAGCTATCTTTATTGCTCAATCTTGACCGTATATTTTGACCCTTGACCTCTATAAGCTGGGCAGTGCGAGTGTCACCAGTGACCACTAATAGGATAGTGGACTCCGCTCGCAGTATTCTCAACAAATTCCTCCCAGATATTTACATATACACCGACCACTTCAAAGGCAGTCAGTCAGGAAAGTAAGTGTTGACAATCAGTGGCAGTATAATATGGTTTTATTGTCCATGTGTAAGAATATCCATAATATTAATTAGTGTTGTTTCAATTCATCAATTTAATCAATTAGTCAGTTTACCTCCGACTATGACCAATCAAACCTGATGTTCTATTATTGATCCTGATATGACTAAAGCATGAACACTTTAAAGAGTTATTGAGATTTGGAGCAGAATTGAAAACTGATTAAACAAGCAATTTTATCCACAACTTTTACAGTAAACTTCCCTTAAACAACATTTCTGGTATTTGATAAGGAGCCACCACATGTTACCCATTTTTGTGAATGCTTCTCAATTTATTTCCTTTTCATTTTATGATCGATCCATGATCAATCATTGATCATTTGAGAAATAGTGATCATCATGAATTGATTATTATTTATTAATTGGTAACTTACCCTGATAATCTCAGCGTTTATTGACTGTCCCGTCAATTTGATTAAATGTTCTAACTATATATCCTCATGTTCTATGTTCAAGGTCTCCAGGGTTTGGACTGACTCTTGTTGCAGAGACCCTCCAGGGGTCATTTTTGTGTGCAGAAGCCGCATCTAATCCCAAGGGTTCTACCAAGGGTCCAACAATACCAGAGGACCTTGGGAAAGACACTGCCAAGCTACTACTGGAGGAAATTTACAGGGTGAGTATGGTGAATCTCTTGTTATTTTAAATCAACTGTTTCACTATAGGCCTCTAAGTATGGAAGGAAAGGTCCCATGAACATGACCCAAGATGCAATGTTAAAAGTTCTTACACTGCAGTGTATCATAATGGAAAAACTAGTTCCTTGGATTTGCTTCTAATAATCATTGATAAAGACCTATATTATGTAAGTTTTTGGAGTTTGCCATCTATTGTCGTCGGAAATTAAATAAAATAAATTAGTAAATGTATTGTGAAACAAAAGAAGTGTAAAGTAGTTGTATGATGCATTTTACTGGTAAGTTTTTTATTGAACCATTCTGAAGGAAATAAGTTTTTTTATAACCACCAATGATGTCAGTTCTTACATATACTGCTTGGCTGTAGGGAGGTTGTGTGGACTCGACCAATCAGAGCCTGACTGCATTATTCATGGTGCTAGGACAACAGGATGTGTCCAAGGTTCAATTGGGGACACTCTCTCAGTATACGTAAGTACCCCCTTGGTAACCATCATCTCTTTCTTGGTTGGAGTAAAGACTTGGTACAAGTAAGTTCTCATGGCTCCACCTGAAGTTCATTCTGTCCAAAATATTGATTTTTATTAGTCATTAGGAGGTATGTTGTATTGTTTCTATGTAAGTCATAAGGAGGTATGTTGTATTGTTTAAGTGTAAGTCATTAGGAGGTATGTTGTATTTTTTCAATGTACGTCATTAGGAGGTATGTTGTATTGTTTAAGTGTTAGTCATTAGGAGGTATGTTGTATTGTTTCAATGTAAGTCATTAGGAGGTATGTTGTATTGTTTAAGTGTAAGTCATTAGGAGGTATGTTGTATTGTTTAAGTGTAAGTCATTAGGAGGTATGTTGTATTGTTTAAGTGTAAGTCATTAGGAGGTATGTTGTATTGTTTCAGTGTAAGTTATTAGGAGGTATGTTGTATTGTTTCTATGTAAGTCATTAGGAGGTATGTTGTATTGTTTAAGTGTAAGTCATTAGGAGGTATGTTGTATTGTTTCAGTGTAAGTTATTAGGAGGTATGTTGTATTGTTTCTATGTAAGTCATTAGGAGGTATGTTGTATTGTTTAAGTGTAAGTCATTAGGAGGTATGTTGTATTGTTTCAGTGTTAGCAAGTAGGAAGTAGTTTGTGATTGTGTTACAGTTAATTGAAAATATGTTGTCAAGCCCCTAACCCTTTGGAACAGTTTCAGTCCAAATTAAAAATTCATGATTTCATGAAGGTACACATGTTCACATACATGTATATAAAGGGGCACATACATGTATATAACTAAGACAGATGACATTTAATTCGGAATTAGGTCCAGATGTTTTTTATAACCTTGCCGTGGCTTTTTCATTGTATCTTAAATCCTTTGAGACATATTGAAAGTAATTTCTTTTAAATTCTAATTTATTATTTTACGCTCTTTTGTTGAACAGGCACAACTGTGTCTAAATATGTATATTAATTGTAAAGATATTGTTAAATTTCCTCATTAAAAAGACCCATTTTGCACATAAATTTTATTCTATATCAAAGCTACTGTACTCACTAATGATAAAAATGTGCCATGAAGCACAGATTTATGGAGATTTCCTTGTAGAGTTTATCAATTAACATTAGTTAATTATTGATGATATGTACGATAATGTCTGTTTCAGGATACAGTTTTTGCGTCACATAAGAGATTTCCTTCAAGTCATGTTTAAAGTTGAGCAAGAACCGAAAAAAGATGATGACGACGATGATTTACAGCTTGGTGGAGAAAAAGTGATTATGACGTGTGTAGGAGTTGGGTACTCAAATGTTAGCAAGGCAATAACATAACTGTTGGCAACAGCAGGTGTTTGTGAGACCAACAGCGGAGACAGTGTCAAAACAAATGTACATCCTCCTTTGTTAACAGAGTCGTCTCTCACAGGAAGGAAAACTGTTACCTTTATTGATGCTAAACTGTGAAATGTTACCGACACTATCCTGATATCAAATTAAAGATAAAAGGTTAAAAGAATCTACGAGATAGTTACAGAAAATGTCAGCCCTCACTCTTCTGAAAATAAATTTAATATTGATGCGTTTAAGGTACATCGATGATAATGGGAATGACGGTTGTTAAGTTTTTGAAATAAATATTGTAATATTTAATGTTTTTGTGTTGTTCTGGTTTGTGTATATCATCAGTGGTTAAACAATTTATGAGTTGTATTGTAAGAAGATTTTATTATGAAAATGATGTCTACCCGGTATGTATAACACTGAAAGTCTTGTAGGATTTTCAGTTGAATTCCATAACATATAAACATTGTTCATACAGAGTCTTTAGGCAAGATTCTAGCAATTTTAAATAACTTTCTTATATTTTTTCTTTAAACAGGGTTGAGGTTCATATAAACATAAAGAATTTAAACTGTCTTTCATAGAGTAGATTATAATTGTACTCATTAATTGCCTTCAGTGTATTTATCCAGCACTTCCAAGGAATACTGAGCAAATTCCAGCTCTTTTCACGGATGCAGCCATTGTCCACTACTTGTCATGTCCATTATGAGGCACATGAGCTCTACATATGACATATAGCTCCTTCCTGCAGCAAATTGACAAGTTGGTAATGGCCCCTCAGGGTGTATACATTATGAATAGTATAGAATTTGAAATGTCTCGACTGTTCAGTGACCAGGGCTGTCACCATGGAGTTTTAAGATTATCAGAAAAAGTATCAATACTTCATCAGGACCACATAAGGAACATTTGTACAAAGGTTAAAATCAATCATCCCAAGGCAAAAATGTCTGGGCCAACCAGAGGCTAGGGCAGCCATCTTTGATTTCAGATCAGCAAGAAAAATAGCATGCCTATGTGCAAATCAATTAATTTTAAGGTTGTGAAGAATATATGAAATAAATACATTCCTTCAGCTTAAGTTATTAAACTTTCCTTCAACACATCACAGGAATAGTTTTCTACTTTACAGAGTAATAGAGTACCATAGTAGTTTCTTCTCTTTACATTTCCATATTTTTAATCACTTAGATACAACAAGAGGCCCAAAGGGCCTGTATCGCTCACCTGGATACCTAAGCAATCATGGTAAAATATTCTCCAAACGAGATCAAGGAAATATGCCAGACCCAAAGGCCAATCCTAGTAGCATATCTGTATTAGATTTTTCATGCCCAACAATTTCATGTATGGTTATGGGGTGGGAATCTCAACTGTTTCCAAGCTGTGACTCAGAAACTAGGTCCCTAGGGTTCTGGCCAGACCCCAGGATCAATTCTAATACTGTGATGGCATTTGTCTCTTTTTGCCCAGCATTTGTATATATAGTTTTGGGGTGGGGATCTTAACCGTTTTAAAGTTATGACCCAGGGGTTAAGTCTGCAAGGGTAGGGCAGACCCTGGGGTCAATTCTAATATCATGACTGCATTCGTCTCTTTATGCCCAACAATTGTATATATAGTTTTGGGGTGGGGATCTCAACCGTTTTAAAGTTATGACCCAGGGGTTAAGTCTGCAAGGGTAGGGCAGACCCTGGGGTCAATTCTAATATCATGACTGCATTCGTCTCTTTAAGCCCAACAATTGTATATATAGTTTTGGGGTGGGGATCTCAACAGTTTTAAAGTTATGGCCCAGGGACTGTCTCCAAGGGTGGGGCCAGACCCATCCCGGAAGCAAATGTGCATTCTTCTCTTTATACTCAGCAATTGTATACCATGGTTATATGGTGGGGATCACAACCATTTCCAAGTAATACACTTTTTTTGGCCCCACCCCTTAGCCCGGGGGGTCAGCCCCACCATTTGTACAATTTTGAATCCCTGCCTCCCATGAATGCTTCCGACTAAATATGATCAATATCCATGACATAGTTCTACAGAAGTCATTTATAGCAATATAGCCAAATTGCCCCCTTTTGGCCCCGCCCTCAGCCCCACCAATTGTACAATTTTGAATCCCCACCACCTAGGGATGATTCCAGTCAAATATGGTTGATATCTGTCTCTTAGTTCCAGAGATGAAGTCGCTTAGAGCAATATAGCCGAATACCATTTTTGGCCCCCACCCCTCAGCCCAACCATTTGTACACTTTTGAATCCCCGTCTCCCAAGAATGCTTTTGATCAAATATGATTGATATCCAGTGCACAGTTCTACAGAAGAAGTCGTTTGTAGTAATATAGCCAAATTGCCCCCTTTTGGCCCCGCCCCTCAGCCCCCTGGGGGTTCAGCTCAACCATTTATACAATTTTGAATTTCCACCACCTAGGGATGCTTCCAAACAAATATGGTTGATATCCATCTCCTAGTTCCAGAGAAGAAGTCGCTTAAAGCAGTATAGCCAAATTGACCCCTTTTTGCCCCGCCCCTCAGCCCCACCATTTTTACAATTTTGAATCCCCACCACCTAGGGATGCTTCCAGTCAAATATGGTTGATATCCACTTATTGGTTCCAGAGAAGAAGTCGCTTAAAGCAATATAGCCAAGTTGACCCGTTTTGGCCCCGCCCTTCAGCCCCCCGTCAGCCCCACCATTTTGAATCCCAACCACCTAGGGATTCTTCCAGTCAAATTTAGTTGAATTCCAATTAGTGGTTAAGAAGAAGAAGTCGTTTAAAGAAATTGTTGACCGACGGATGGACGATGGACGCAACGGTATGGCATAAGCTCACCTTGGTCCTTCGGACCAGGTGAGCTAATAATGCATCAAAAGGATTATAAGTATGTAAGATTGGCACGGGACAGACGTATATTCTACCTTGTGGTACTCCTGTTGCTTCTATGATGATCTCATAAGGAAGACTAGAGGAGAAGCTTCAACATGACGCTGAACGAAAGTATTCATAGCCCTATGAACATGTTTGGACTTGCAGCCTTTTTAAATTAACAGGATAGGTCAACAGCAAAAATCAACACTGTATTCATGTGTTTTGAAAATTCAGAGATTTGTTACCTATTTTAAAGTGCCATTTATTGAAGTAAATGGGTAATTTGCATGCACATGTTCAGTGGTGTGTACTGGTGTACCGATGCCTAGGCTACTTCAATACAAGAGGCTCAGAGGGCCTGTATTGCTCACCTGGATATTTGAGCAATCATGTCTCCTTGGTTTAAGAATGTTCCAGACTAAATGAAACTTTATACTGCTCTATCCCAGCATGCTACTGGTAAAATATCATCACCCAGGGCCTCCAAGATATTTACATATTTGACCCCTGTGACCTTGAAAGTAGTTCAAGGTAATTTATTTGAGGAAAGCCTACTGGCCAAATATCATTACTCTGGGTCTCCTGGTTATTCAGAAGAAGATGTTTAAAGGTTTTAAACACATTTGACCCTTGTGATGTTGGTCAAGGTCATTTATTTGAGAAGTTTGTAGCACTTTATGCCAGGTACCTACTGGCCAAAAACATGGCCCTAGGTCATCCAGTTCTTAAAAAGAAGTCGTTCATAGAAAAAAATTGACGGACAACACACCATACCATAAGCTTAACTGGCACTTAGTACCAGGTGAGCTAAAAACTATCCAAAAAAATTGTCTACTTAAATGGGTTTTCGCTGCAAAATCTCTGCAAAATATAAGTATGATTATCACACACAACCAGGATGAGAGAAATGTGTGATATATAAACTTGTTTTGATAGGGCTTGGGTTTATTTATAGGTATTGTACATCTAATACTGGACAATTCTTCTTAAACATGTCCATCTAATGCACCTTACAACTAATATAGGTGTATAACTGTGAAAATAATATGGTTAACATACCCTTTTGTCAATTGAATCAACCTCATATGATATTCTATATCATAGTTCAACCCATCCTCCCTACTCCAGGGGTTATGCTCACTTTCGCTCTCTGCACCCCTGGGATATGTTATAGCAAAATTGAAGGCAAGCAGCTAGGTATTTGATTGGTCTCTGGTAAAAAAACAACTGACCAATCGTGGGGTTGATACCTGTCTTTTGTCATATTACAGAGGAGCGACCCCATTCAATGTTACTGTTATGTGACTTGAGAGATCAAACTAGTCTTCTTGTCTCATCCACCAGGTGGTGCACACTAGTACCGAGCCTTCCATTTTGCCATGACATAATCCAGGGATGCAGAGAGCGAAAGTGAGCGTAACTCCTGGAGTAAATTAGCATAACCCCTGGAGTATCGAGGACGAGTTCAACCTGCAAGGTCATATCATGTTTAGAAAACAACATTCCTCATACTGTCCTACATTATTCCATGTCATTGTAATAATAACCAAAGAAAACATTGATTGTGTATTCAGTCTCCCATATTCAAATGCAAGAAGAGGAAAAACTACGTTTGCAAGTTGCTTTTAAACAACAAAAAATAATAAAGGGAACAGATTAATTTTGATGTTTATAACAAACAAATTTATGTGATAAAGATGACAGCACTTTAATGTACAGAATGGTATCCATTTATTGATAAAATCTTTTATCTTATGTTAGAGCACTTTGACATAGCATCACACTGATGTGTCCTCCACACGAAACACTTGTTCTTACAATGCTCCACTTAACACTTTCTTCTATGATTATCGCAACCATTGATCATGCTCCATTTTTAGAGATCGATGGCTCGGAGCTCGGTTTATTGAAGTATGTCTACCTCACCTCAGTCACTGATATACAGGTACCGGATAAGATCGAGCATGAATAATGAATGAACTTTGTCCCATATCAAGGTTTGGTCTATGTTAAATTTCCGCAGGTTGTGGTTTTAACATTGGCAGTTCCTGGACACCGTCTTTGTTAACAACTCGCACTTTAAATGCTGGCAGGTTTATGATGAATCTCTTTCTTATCTGCGGACGTAAATTATTGAAAATGTTATTCATAAATTTCATAAACATACTGAGCACTTTTCCTGCTTTGGATGTATGATATGTAAAATGTGTAAATTTTAAAAATAATTCTGTTTCTTTTACATTAACTTATAAACTGTTAGAATATAAGAAACACTTGTATCAAATGACTGTAACAGGCTGTTTTAATTGTATTGCTAGCCAGTGTATCTTACACTGAAAATATCAACTGTTCCACTTAAATTAAAATCACACATAATGGCACAAAAATATTTGCTAAGCTAGTGCATACCACTTATTCAAGAAAGTATTCCTGTGATTGTAACAATAATGCTTCCAACGGTATTGTGACTGTCTCAAATCAACAAGCCAGAGCGCAAAATCTTAAGAAATCCTTCTGCATATGTTATACCTGTACTACTGAATAGCCTGGCCGAATCATTGAATCCATTAAAGAAATCCTTATCCAATAGCTAGGTCACACAGTCAAACAGCCAGGTGCAGGGTTGAAGCCGAGTTTACGTTATTATCATTAGGAGTTTAACTGTCTACTTCCCCCAGAGGGGCTCACAAACTTAGCTCATACAACCTCAATTTTTTTTTGCCTAAGGATGGTCTAGTCAATACTTGAGTAGGATTTTCAAGGCGTATCACAATCTTCCTCATTGGGTAGTGACACCATGAAGTGTGTCTGGATTATATGTGTGTATACAGTGTAATGTGAGATTCTATTAGGCTTACCTCATCTATACATCTCTGCAGGAGCTCTAATGCCTCGTCCTGTGATAGGTCTGAAAGTCACAAATTTATATACAGCCCAAACAAAGTATAAAACAACTTTCCCAAGAGTTCAAGGTTCAGATTTTTTTGAATAGAAGACCGTTACTAGTAAATGGATGGAATATTTGATGGGAGGGATGAAGATTTTATACATAAAATATTTATCCATATATGCATGGGGGCAACATTTTTATATGATACGGCCATAAGTGGTGGTATAAAAGGCTCAAATGGATGATCATCATTTCTTCATCTTATAGTTGTCAACATACCTTCCCTGTAGTATCTGTCTAGGATACTGAGTGAAAAGAACGATCCATAGCCATGGGCTGCAAATGGACATTTGTTCATGGATGCTAGATAATCCATGTAGTATAGAGATGGTCCCTCCGTCTTATCATACCCAGCCATCAACAGGTTCACTGTATACCTGGACTGAACACAGAAAACAAACTAGTTTTGGCAACAATGGTTTTCATCCTGAATGGTTCTGAATGTGTTCTATAGTGGGAAGGATATGATGGCAACATTATCAAATGTGGACATGCTAACTGTATCTTTACACATATATGCTCAAACATATTGAAATCAGCTGGAACTCCAAAATTTAAAAAAAATCATCTAACGTGAGCAAATATTACATGTATGCTCATCAAAAATTACTTAGATTTGGATCGAAGAAGAACCTGTTCAGCAATTGGTTAAAGGGGCATAACTCAGTAAATTATGGCCGGATAACAGTGGTTATCAAACTCCTTTGAGCTTCTATGGTAATTAATCTAGAAAATAACTAGAGATATTGAGCGTACACTGTTTCAGTAATTGTTTAAAGGGACAAAACTCCGTCAGGAAATGGTGGTTATTGAACTTTCCAAAGCATTTATGGTAATTAACTTTTCCATGAAGTTTGAAGTTAATTTGTTCCAAATTACTAGACATATTGAGCTGACACTGTTTCAGTAACTCATTAATGGGGCATTACTCAGTAAATTAGAGTCAGATAATTGCTTTTATCAAATTGTCCGAGCTCTTATGATAGCAAGGCATCACAAGTAATACCAATCCCCTCACATTCACATGTTGAGGAATGAAGTCGCTAGAGCGATGACAGTTTTCTCTCTCTAAAAATAGTAACTGTGACCTTGACCTTAAACAAATATGTAGAAACCTGAACTTCTGAGGATGTTGAGGAATGAAGTTGATAGAGCGATGACAAAGTTTTTCTAGAAATGGTAACAGTGACCAAGACTTTCAACACTGAAACCTGAAACACAAACTTGTCAAGGCATTGTCATACCAAACACTTGTTTGAAGTTTCATGAAATTCTGTTGAGAAATGAAGTCGGTAGAGCGATGAGAATTATTTTTTCTAGAATAGTAATATTGACCTTGACCTTCAACATTATACATAAAAACCTGAAACGCAAACTAGTTCAAGGCATTTCCATACCAAACACTTGTATGAAGTTTCATGAAATTCTGTTGAGAAATGAAGTCGGTAGAGCGAAGAGTGTAACATACATACGTACGAATGGGAGCGATGCTATATCCCCTCAAACATTCGTTGCGAGGGAATAATCAACCTTCCCATGAAGTTTGAGGTTAATTTATTTAACACTTTCACCACTGTAGACCATAATGGACTCATCCAGGCCAATGCATGGTAGAGTCTAATAAAGTTACATAGTGGTGAAAGGGTTAAAAATGCTCAAGATCTCTAGCGGTTACTGTTTCAGGAATTTTTTAAAGGGGTATAACTCAGTTAATTACATTTGGATAATGGTGCACGTGGTTATCGAATTAGTATGAGCTCTTCTGGTATTTAATTAACCTTCCCATGAAATGAAAATTGGTCTGTTGAAAATTACTCCAGATATCAAGCAGACACTACTGTGCACTCCCATGTGTCAGCCTGCTAATTTATATTGTGTAAAGACATGTTTTTTGTATGTCCCATCTTTTGAAGGGCGTATCAAAACATTTGTTCCCAAAATAAACTAATTCCACAGAAAATGTTAACAGACAATCATCAGTTCTTTATCTTCACATTAGTAATTTCAATCAGAAATAGTTATATTGTTAGGAAATTATATATCAGACAAAAAAAGATCTAACAGATAAAGTGTAATTTATAGTATATACCACTCACCCGACTCCGTAGGTACTCAGCTAAATTTCGCCGTGTGAAATTAGCTGCAGCATGTGGAGACAATTCATAACCTGTTGAGAAAATTATAATGCAACTATAAAATGTCTGTAAAACAGGAATTCCCCACTCCTATTCTATAGAAAGACCATGGCCAATCAAATATCTCTTTTTGACTTTTAAAAATGGTTATTTCCTCCAGCTCAACAAATTTTAGTAACCTGTTTTTACAACAATATTAGTTTTGGTGCAAAAAATGTTTTTTTTGGCCTCGATGCTTTTCTTGGAGGATTATTACCAAATTTTATATCTATAAAAACAAGGTACACGTAGCTATTGATCAGTTCTCAGATGACTTTAAAAGTTTTATCTTTGATAACAACATGGTTATTGACTTTTCTAACTGATAATAAAATTCTATATATTTCCAGCAAAAGGCAGCAGGTGTTTCTTCTTCAGGAAAACAAATATTTGTTATTGCTAGCAGCGGAAAACCAATCCTATTAAAAGCATAACTTGCATATATACAGCTAACAAGAGGCCCATGGGCCTTAACGGTCACCTGATATTTTTATACAGAGAGTTGATTTTGTCACACGAAATAACAGAAATATTATTCAGTGACAAAAAACAATAAAACCACCTTATTTAATATCTAGCATACAGATTTAAGACTAAAACGTATTTGAAACTAGCACCTCTGATTCTAAACAAGGAAAATGAAGAAATTTTAGCACACTGACTCCTTTGAGCCCCACCCAGTGGCGGATCCAGAGGTTTTTTTTGGGGCACCCTACAGCCCTTGGGGGTAGGGCTGGCTCAAACTTTTCAAAGTATCAAACTGTCAACTCAGGGTTATAATTCCAATCAGAAATTAAACAAATGTTGGTCCAAAACGTGATTTCCCAATATAAACTATAGTTAAGTTTACCCCCTCCCCAGGGGGAAACATGATACCCAAGGGTCATGAAATTCACAATTTTGGTAGAAAACCTTAAGACCCTTCCATCTATGAAGAGTGTTTGATTCTACCATATCTGGGTCTTTGAGAAGATTTTTGAAATTTCAGTCAATTCAACCCTTTTTGGCCCCTCCCATCAGCCCTGGGGGCGTCAGGCAGGGCTCATATGTGCATACCATCAAACTGCTACCCAATTCTGATAATGCTAACCTAAATTTAATTACTTCCAATGGAAATTAAACAAATGTTGGTCCAAAATGTGATTTCCCTATATAAACTATAGTAAAGTTTACCCCCTCCCCAGGGGGAAACGTGATACCCAAGGGTAATGAAATTCACAATTTTGGTAGAGCACCTTAAGACCCTTCCATCTATGAAGAGTGTTTGATTCTACCATATCTGGGTCTT